ATGACTTTCAAAAACAATTTAAAAAACACTTAGTCTTCCTTTCAAATCTATAGCTCATTTTGTGTAGGATTGGGGTACTAGTATCTCTTGCCTTGCATTTGATTCTTTTGTCTGGATATATTATGAGCCATTTAAGTGTTAAAAAGATTGATACTTATATAATGAGCAACTATGAACTCACCACTCAGCTTCAGTCATGTAACATCACCAATATTATTCTGTGATCACATCTGTCTCCCTCAGTCCCCAGAGGTAAGTGCAATTGTGAATTTGGTGTTTGTTTCTTTGGAGGTTTGGTTTTCATACTTACTTGATTTTTTTTGTTGTTGTTGAAATTACACAAGTAGTTGATAGTTTCCATTAATATACTTGAAATAACTCATCCAACAGAGTAAACTGCTCTCTAAATTTTTTTTTTTAACGTTTATTTATTTTTGAGACAGAGACAGAGCATGAGTGGGGGAGAGTCAGAGAGAGAGAGGGAGACACAGAATCTGAAACAGGCCCCAGGCTCTGCACTGTCAGCACAGAGCCCGACTCGGGGCTCGAACTCACGTACCGTGAGATCATGACCTGAGTCTAAGTTGGATGCTTAACCGGCTGAGCCACCCAGGCGCCTCCATGAGTAAACCACTCTTAACAACATAGGTGGTGTTTTTTTTTTTTTTCCTTAAAAGATATTGTGTGCACTGTTACATTTCTAGAGGTTGCTTCCCTCCACAAACACAAATCTACAGCTGCAGAAGGCATATACAAGGATAGGTATATTTTATTAGTTACGGTGAACATTTTAGAAATCTAAATATTCTACTCAGAAATATAGAAATATGGAAGTATATCAAGGATATCTGTGGCTTGTTGGTTAAGAGAACAATTTAAAAATAGTCTAAATGTCCCACTAATTGGGGACAGATTAAATAAAAGTAGAGTTTTCATAGTAACTGGGGCAATTTAAAGGGAGTGATGTAGTGTACATGTACACATACCCCGTTGTGGGTGTTGGTTTGGGACATTTCCATCACATCTGCAGTGATTCTTGCTTTTTAGCACAAAATGCTAACTGGACTATTAGCACTGGACTATTCTAGTTATCTTCAGCAGATGAATGCTGCTATTTGTGACTTCCTGTGTCTTTAAATTGGGAGTTGAATATTTTCTGTCTGGTTGTTGTTGGAATGTTTTGTGTTTCATGGCACTATATGGATCATACTAAGGTCTTGTGACAATTTTAGTTGGTGGTGATTGCCAAAATGAGATTTCAGCCTTAATCCCTTGTCTGGAGATAATATGCATTACAGTAATTAAAAAAACCATTAATTTCAAAAGTGTTTCAAAACGGTTGCATATTCTAGCAAAGTCAGTAAGTCCGCCTTTCCATTCTGTTCTCTAGCATGCATACTAGGCACAGCAAACGTCAAAGAAGACAGTTTAGCTCTCACATCTGTTAGGGAGGTCAACAAGTGACCAAATTACTTGCATAGGATGGGACAAATGGGAAGGCAAAGAGGCACGGATGTTAACAACTGGGGCTTTGGAGTCTATCCCCTAGGCTGGGATGTGTCATTGCTAAAAGTAACGAGAGCCGGGGTGCTTGGGTGGCTCAGTCGGTTGAATGACCGACTTCGGCTCAGGTCATGATCTCACGGTTTGTGAGTTTGAGCCCTGTGTCGGGCTCTGTGCTGACAGCTCGGAGCCTGGAGCCTGCTTCCGATTCTGGGTCTCCCTCTGTCTCTGCCCCTCCCCCTCTCATGCTCTGTCTCTGTCTCAGAAATAAATAAACATTAAAAAAAAAAATAAAAGTAATGAGAGCCAGTGGTTGACGCGCAGACTGAAATGAGGCTGCCTCTTTGAGTGGCCCATGGGAGTAACTGCTCTGGCACAGTTGCTGTAGCAGAGTATCATGGAAGACTTAAAAGGTGCTGAGTTTAGGAATGGTGAGGGCACAAAGGATGTTTTCCTAGAGAAGGTAATAGCTGAAGCTTTAAGAATTGGAGTGGTGTTTGTCACAAGCAGAGATTGGAGGTGAGCGATCCTAGGACTCATTCTGTACTCAGTGGTTCAGTAAGGCTGGGGCAGTGGAGGTGAGGGGGAGGGGGAGGAATGGTTAAGCATTGAGTCCTGAGAACTTGACAGGTGGAGGCCAGGTTTCATCCGGCATGCCGAGATATGATGGTACCAGCATCAGGCCCAGGGTGGGTGAGGGGAGGTGGCCAGCGGACTCCTCACCCTCCAGGCCTCTCTAAGCACGGGGCTTTGGCTGTGTAAGTGCAACCTCCAGGTATGTTCCTAATTCCCCTTCTAAGTGAAAAGTGATTTCTTTATAAACTCCTTGTAAGGAAATTCTGGAGCTGCCTCTGGACCTTTAAAACTGTGAGCAGATGGTGGAGGCAAAAGTAATAACGTTTCCAGCTACTGCCATGGATTGTATGGTTCTAACTCACTAATAATGAGCACTAGCTGGGAAGAACTTTGTGTTAGAAGGGAAATGTGAAATTGTGAAATTCTGAAAAGTCTAATGTTTGGATAAGGCCCCGACATTTATAGAGTGCTGCTGTCATAGGTGCCATTTGTCATAGCTGCCTCATGACCTTACAGAGGATGGCACAGGTTAAAAAGTGGCATAGGCTGAGATAGGCTCGAGGACTGAGACCCAAGCTGTGGATGCTGCAGCCTGCACTTTTTAACTATACTGTCCAGCCTTCCTCTTTGTTTTCTTTGCTTGGTGGACTGCCTTATGCTTGGTCACAGGTGGAGGATAAGTGACTTCAGATGCTTTAGTCAGCTGGATCAGTCCGCCTTTACTGTTCAAAGGGCCAAGGAGTTAGTATAATGAGGACTTGGAAGTGTGCATCACCTGTTAACAGGGATGCCTAACTAGTTTTGGACATTGTATAACATGGAAAAGGTTTACTTTTTGAGTCTCTTAAGGTTTTGAACCCTTGTGGTCAAATAGAATATGGACATTAGCGCCAGACTTGGGGGTTGGGATCCTTGCCCATCTCAGTTTTCTCATCCCTCACGTGGGGATAAAAATTCCCAATAGGGTGTTCTGGGAAATAAGCAAAATAATACATATAAAGTACTTAGAGTAAGGCCAGGCACCTATTAGATGATTAGGTAATTAATACATGGTTTTTCCCTTCTTTTCCCCTCCCCAGGCTAGGACACCTCCCCCCCCCGCCCGGCCCCGACGGCATCCTCATCTTAACTCAGAGGCACCTTTGCTGTAATGCACTTGCTGTGGATCATGTGGGATTTTGGAGGGTCAGTCCCAGTTCCCAGTGTACTGCCCTGGTCATTGTGTGGACACGTTTGTCAATTGATAGGCCCTGATTTCTAGTTGGGAAGATATAGTGGGTGTAAGTACGAAGCCTCCCTTCTTTAACCTTTTGGGCTTCATGCCATGTGCCCTTTATCTCCTGGTTGCTGAACTCAAGGCCCTTTGGGTTAAGTTACGGTTACTCTCGCTTCTGGTTGCTGCTAGCCTCCCCTCCTATGCTTTAGCTCTAAGCAGAAGAGTTGAACTGGCCACCTTTTTCTGGAGTCCATCCAGTTGAGGGCTTTTCCTTTATTTATTTATTCTTATTTTTTAAAATATAATTTATTGTCAAATTGGATAACATGCAGTGTTTACAGTGTGCTCTTGGTTTTGGGGGTAGATTTCCATGGTTCATCGCTTGTATACAACACCCAGTGCTCATCCCATCAGGTGCCCTCCTCAATGCCCATCACCCGTTTTTCCCTCTTCCCCACCCCCCATCAACCCTCAGTTTTTTCTCTGCATTTAAGAGTCTCTTATGGTTTGCCTCCCTCCCTCTCTGTAACTGTTTTTTCCCCTTCCCTTCCCCCATGGTCTTCTGTTAAGTTTCTCAAGATCTACATATGAGTGAAAACATATGATATCTGACTTTCTCTACCTGACTTATTTCACTTAGCGTAATACCCTCCAGTTCCATCCACGTTGCTGCAAATGGCCAGATTTCATTCTTTCTCATTGTAGGGCTTTCCCTTTAAAGTGGCTTCACTGCTACCAGTGTGCCCCTGAATTGCTTTTTTACTGTTCGAAAATGGGCAGGGTATGTAGCCTACTCGGCTTCCAGGATTGATACTCAGTCTTCCCACAGCCTCTGGTGTTTGTGTTTTGTAGCTTCTGCTGTCATCTGCCTACTTAGGTCCCTCCCTCCTGAGGGGTGTTTGGAATGAGGAAGGGGTGGCATGTGTGGTAGCCCATAGCAGTCTTTATTGGTTTATGCTTTCACATCAGACTCAGAGTGCTCTTTTTGTTTATTTTTTTTCTGCTATCAGCTCTGGAACTCACTGCTGGCGATTCCCAGGCAGGACCTCTGGTTGGGGTTAGTGGGTGTGTTTTCAATACAACTCCCCAAATTTGCACCTATTGTTGATAACCAGTGATTAGATAATTGCATCCAGATTGCATTCTTACTCTTTGGGGAACTTCGCTTTGGTTTTGTTTTGTTCTGTGTTGATTTTTTCTTTGAGCGTGGGGAATATTTGTCTTGAGGACAGAAACACTGATACTGAACAAATAAGACTTAGTGGATCCTGACAGATTGACCTGGTTTCAAATTCTGCTTGTGTCATCTTGGGATACTTGCTTAATTATTTCTGGGTTTTAGTTTTTCCTTACCTGTCATTAAGGTTTCATTTTTCAGTTTTTCCTCATCTGAGTGAAGGAGAAAATAACATGCCCTTTTTGAGTTTAGTAAAAGAGCTAATCTATATAAATTAAGTGGTATATGGCATCATCTAAGCACTCAGGAAATGGTCGCTGCTAGGAATGTTTGGAATGATAATGACATTATTGGCAATATAAGAATGTAAAAGTGAATTTGAAGATTTTGATTTTGTATTACTAGAATTACTCTCTGCTGTCATTTTACCACTTTTTAAAAAAGATTTATGTGGAATTTTTAAAAAACAGATTTATGTGGCAGTTCTTATATCTTGTACTTTTTTTTTTTTTTTTTTTTTTAATTAAGCCACTCAGCATCTGAAGAGGCTTCGGGTTCAGACTCAGGCAGCCAGTCGGAGAGTGAGCAGGGCAGCGATCCAGGAAGTGGACATGGCAGTGAGTCAAATAGCAGTTCTGAATCTTCAGAGAGCCAGTCGGAATCTGAAAGTGAGTCGGCGGGTTCCAAATCCCAGCCAGTCCTTCCAGAAGCCAAAGAGAAGCCAGCCTCTAAGAAGGAACGGATAGCTGATGTGAAGAAGGTATCTGCTTTGCTATACAGTGAAAATGTGCTGCTGGCTAGGACCAGCAAGCAGAACTTTATTTCACATGGAAAACTCATTAGTATATTCGGATAATGAAAACTACCACCACCTTTTGTAATAATATACTGTCTGTGGATATAAAGATTGCTTTCTGTTCTACTCTTTGAATATAGTAGACACAGGGCCATAAGGGAAATAATTACACGAACCATCAAATTACAGGGCAAAAAGACAAATTTTTATAGTTTCGGTTTTTAACATTTAAAAAAGGTAATAGTACCGAACACTACAGAGTGAATTACTGACAGATTATGGAATGTAGTTGTGGAGCTTAGTTATGGGTAATAACAGTTCAAGAATAAGGGCAATTTTTCTTCCCTGAAGAATGGAAGGAAAATACTTCTCATAGGAAAAAAAGTTACTTGCATCTAGGCAATATAGATTTTGTTTGCTTAACGGAGGAGTCTTGTAGCAAAGAATGCAAAAAGGCAAAAATTGAAGTGCATAGTGTCTTCTCGATGCACAAACTGGAATGCGTTCCTTTTGGGGAAAAATTAATGATTTGGCCTAATTAGTCACAAGAGCACAGCTTATCTTTTAAAATTCCATTTTGAGACAGTTAGGTGTGAATCACTGAAAATGCAAAAGAATATTCTTTTAGAAACTTAAAAGATGTCCTAATGAAAGTTTTATGCTAAATCAGTTTTTATTACTCTTAAGACAGAAATCTTCGTACTATGAGCACTCAGATTTTTGTAGTAGTACGAGTAACTTTTTAAATTACCTGCAGGTTCTACAGAATAGCTTTGATAGATGCTTCAACAGATGAAGCTTCTGAAGCCGATAGGGATAAGAAAATGAAAGCTGTCCTTGCTAATTCAGTCATCACCAGTGACTTAGACACTCAAGTATTGTACCTTGTCTACCTGCTCAGTGTGTCAGTGAACCTTTGACAAGTGGAAATGCAAAAACACCCTGCATGTAGATTACCACTGAGAGATTTTGCTCTGAGTATCACTAAACTCAGAAACTTACTCTCTAGGCTTGTAGCAGAAGGCTTTGCTTGGCAATCTTCAGAGGATAATGTCTGAGCCTGGTTTCCTCTACATCTAGACTGGGTATTCTTTTCAGAACACCACAACACACTTTTGAAGAAAGTATAATGGATAGAAAACATCTGAATATAACTTTGTTCTGTGCAGTGAGGAATTCTTTACTTGAAAAGATAAAAGGAAACCATGGAAACTGTGACTTACATAGTGTTTAAAACTTCACTGAAATCTAGTTGACCGGGATTCTCAGCTGTTAACTATAAGACCGTGTGTATGTGTATATATATATATATATAATTTTTTTTAACCTTATATAAGTAGATAAAAGGGAATTAAGAAAGGAGAAATTATTGCTAAGACTGAATTTCAAAATACAAGTAAAGTTTCAGACAGAAATATTAAAATACATTTTAATTTAAGACTTTTTGAGAGAGAGTGTATGTGCATGTGCAAGTTGGGTAGTGGGTAGAGGGAGGGGGGAAGGTCTTGAGCAGGTTCTGTGTTCTGCGCAGAGCCTGATGCTGGGTTGCATTTCAGGATCTTGAGATCATGAGCTGAGTCAAAATCAAGAGTTGGACACTTACCTGAGTCACCCAGGTGCTCCTAAAATACACTTTCAAAGTTAAGGCAATAAATTCCAAAAAGTTAATAAGGTTAACAGGTGGATGGATGTACTAACTAGGTAGAATGATTGGATCGTGACTTTTTTTTTCAGTTTACTTATTTAGTTTTGAGAGAGAGAACAAGCAGGAGAGGGAGAGAGAGAGAGAATCCCAAGCAGGCTCTGTACTCTCAGTGCAGACCCTGATGCAGGACTCACCTCCAAATCATGAGCTCATGACCTAAGCTGACCAGGCCACCCAGGCGTCCTGATCAGATTGTGACTTTAATGATGCTATTCTAAAACGAGAACTTCTGAGGAAGGTTCTTTGTTTTCTGTATATGGCACAGTTTTTTTTTTTTTTTTTTTTTTAATTGAAGACTTGAATTAGATATCATAGCCTTCAAAAGGACAAAGATGAGCTCAGGATGATTTTAGTATGTGTGCATTACAGTGTATCCTGTAATATAGTCTCAGCAGTTGAGCCTGAATGCCTAATATTTTAAAATGATAAAACTAACTGGTACAGTGACACTTAAATGATTTAGCTACCCCAGTTAATAAAAGCTCCTTAAATACCTGTGTTGAGTAATTTTGTACCTTTAGCAGAAGTCCAGAAAGGGGTAAGAGTTGGGGTTGGTCAGGGTCAGCAGGGCTAGAATAAACTTTTTTGTCTCCTTCCTTTCTCTGCCAGATTTGTTCAGTGTCCTGCTGCCTCTGTCACCCAGATTTCCTGCCAGTTGGTTATTCCTAACTCCTCCTGGTTGGACCTTTTGTCCTCCCGACTCTGAGATTATTCTAAGGCCATTACGGATTTGTCACCTTTATAAACTGGGAACACTGGGTTTCATGATTATGTTGGATTCTTGTTCTAAAGTGCCTTTTCCTGGAACATCTTGCTTGTTTTCTTTGGAGGCTTTGGTTTTATTCAGCCTACTTGGCACTTTGTTTTTTAAGGCACTGTTGATAATACCCTCCCTTGCCTTAGTGACATTCTGTCTTTTTGAATTGTCTTTCATCAGTTTTGTCTTTTTTGGGGTCCACTTTCTACATACTTCACGAGTCTCAGCCAGTGGCTTCTCCTGTGGCCTCACTTTCTAAATATTTTCATGACATTTGCTGTCACCTGTGTTTTGACAACAAGCCCACATTTCTAATCTTGGCTGTCAGGCATCTTTTCTACATGTTTAACTCCTATTAAACATCTTCATCTCAGTGTTCCACAATCCATCCAAATTCATTTTGCCGCTATGTGACTGATTTCATTAGAAAAACACATGGTATGCTTGCTGTGAGTTATCTTTGGGAAAGAGAGTGAAATTGGGGGATTAGACTGTTATTGTTAGAGGTTGGAAGGGTCTTTTACATTTTTTCTATAGATTTGTTGATTTGCATCTTTTAAATGAGATGATGTTGATATATTGAGAAAAAAAATTTCTCTTCAACTAATCTCTCCTTTCAACTTCATTTATATATTTCTATTACCAGCGAGGATTGTAACTAAAAATCAAGTCCTAAAGGTTAAGGGTAATTACTGCTGGAGAGTACAGGGTCCAGAGACAGGGATCAGTGTACAGATGAGACAGTGGTTCTCATCTGAGAGCATCTAGCTAAGTGTTGGAAATGCCTAATTTGCGTACATCTGGCACGTTACACATTCCGAGGCAGTAGAGGAAATGTACAAATAGATGGTTGGAGCCCTGCTTGGTTTCTGATTTCCCAGATGGGTCAGTGTGTGGACATCGCTGATACTGGAAAGCATTAGGGACTTAAAATCATCAGTAAAGATTTTGTCTTTAGCAGGAGCCTTGCCATATTATTCAATTGTAAGTTTATATTTTCATGACGAGTATGTAGTGTGCCATGTAGTTTAAGAGCCATTCAGTAAAGAAGAGGCATTGTTAAGCTTCAGTGTGTTTCAGAATAATAAAGATGGTACTTTATTGTCTCATAAACAAAACTGACACAAAACACCCTTTAGACATTTAGTTACTTGAATTTTCTTAAATTGAAATACATGTTCCAGTAATGAAAATAGTAAATCAAAAAGGATTCACTCATGGTCTATTAATTTTACAGATGTGGGAAGAATATCCTGATGTTTATGGGGTTAGGCGGTCAAACCGAAGCAGACAAGAACCATCACGATTTAATATTAAGGAGGAGGTAAGAAAAAGACATGTTTTAAGGGGATACATTTAAACTCCTTATCTTACCTCATCCTTTTTGACTCTGGTATATGCTACCATTGACATGACTGAACTTGTTGCCTTGGAGTTAAGTGACTCTAATGTGAACTTTCTCACCATAATATGGCAAGGAAAACCACAGGTGGCTTTTAAAGGAAGAAACTTACCAGGAAGATTGTGTCATAATGAATGTCTTAGTAGAGTATTGTACAGATTGGCTTCAAATTTTTGTTTTTATTTTATTTTTTTAAGGTTTCCAAGTTTCAAGTGAAATTGATTATCATAAGAAGTTTACCTTTTAAAATACCTAGTTTCTAAATCTACATTTTGTAAAATGAGTCATTGCTTGGTAAACAAATGTAATAGTGGAAGTTGTTTCAGATTTATTTCTGAGAAAGGAAGGAAAATTTGCTTAAATACTGCATTTTAACTAATTCAAATTTGCTTTCTGTTTTTAGTGTGCAGTATAGAATAATTCACACACATTTAGTCTGATCTAATTGTGAGAGATTGAGTAGCTTGTTTTTTAAAATTGGTAATTACTGGGTTCTATTGTTTCTATAGACTAGACTTTTCTCACCTTTCTCAGTTCATGTGGTATTTTTGTCAATTCTTACCTCTGTAGTAGGTGTATAGACCACATTCTGAAGAGGTGCTCTTTTGTGCCTCAGTGAGATGTCCCCTTTCTGTATTCTTTTTTTTTTTTTTTTTTTAATTTTTTAACGTTTATTTATTTTTGAGAGAGAGCAACAGAGCATGAACGGGGAAGGGTCAGAGAGAGGGAGACACAGAATCCGAAACAGGGTCCAGGCTCCGAGCTGTCAGCACAGAGCCCGACGCGGGGCTCGAACTCACAGACCGAGAGATCATGACCTGAGCCGAAGTCGGCCGCTCAACCGACTGAGCCACCCAGGCGCCCCCCATTTCTGTATTCTTTTTTTTTTTTTTTAATTTTTTTTTTCCCAATGTTTATTTATTTTTGGGACAGAGAGAGACAGAGCATGAACGGGGGAGGGGCAGAGAGAGAGGGAGACACAGAATCGGAAACAGGCTCCAGGCTCTGAGCTTTCAGCCCAGAGCCCGACGCGGGGCTCGAACTCACGGACCGCGAGATCGTGACCTGGCTGAAGTCGGACGCTTAACCGACTGCGCCACCCAGGCGCCCCCCATTTCTGTATTCTTAAGAGGACTTTGCTTAACCAGCTGAGCCACCCAGGCACTCCCCCTTCCCCCTTTAAAAATTTTTTTTTTTTTTTTTAATTTTTTTTCACCGTTTATTTATTTTTGGGACAGAGAGAGACAGAGCATGAACGGGGGAGGGGCAGAGAGGGAGGGAGACACAGAATCGGAAACAGGCTCCAGGCTCTGAGCCATCAGCCCAGAGCCCGACGCGGGGCTCGAACTCACGGACCGCGAGATCGTGACCTGGCTGAAGTCGGATGCTTAACTGACTGCGCCACCCAGGCGCCCCCCAAATTTTTTTTTTTTTAATGCTTATTTTAGAGAGAGAGAGAGAAGGACTTTGCTATTCTTAAGTATGTAGCATTCTTCTGATGAAAGTTAATAGTCAGAGGTTAGTGAGTTGGAGGTGGGTTTTGGTAAGCATATTTTAAAAATCTAATTGACTGTAACATCCACATTGCCTTTATGGTGTTTTATTTTGAATGACCTCTGAGCTGGTTTGCCCGAGTTTTCTTTTTCCACAGTGTCTAGGACAAGGTTGCTGAGCCATGTTTGTTACAACCGGTCACGTAGTTGTGTCTGTTCTTTCCTTTTATACGTCCGTTAACACATTCTCTATAGGGCACAAGAGAGCGATAGAAATAGTTTCCCTAATTTTGGGGGAAAAGAGACATTTAAATGTTTCTGACTATAAACCTTCCTTGGTCTAGTGCTGTCAGCAGGGCACTGTTGGCTCATGATTGAACATGCTCTGTAATGAGTCTAAAATGGGACAAATCAGCAGTCACCACCTTTAATGACACACTAAATGTTGTGGCATTTCATATGATATTCTAGATCTGCAGTATCACGTTTGGTTGCCACTAACATGTAGCTTTTAAAGTTTTTAATTAAAGTAAAATAAAATGAAAGATTCTGTTCCTTAGCCGCACTAGCCATGTTTCAGAGGCTCAGTAGTCACATGTGGCTGCTGGCCACTAGATTGTTCCCTGCAGATACAGAACATTTCCATCATCTCAGAGAATTTTATTGGACTGAGCCCTTGTAGAAGTCAAGCTGAGGGAGGGTTTCCCGGTGTTAGAGGTAACTCTGTCATTACAGACAAATTAATTTTCAAAGGAAAAGAAGAGTGAGCACGATCAAACACAGGTTTCTTTTGTCTGAAAGCTCACATTGGATAATGTTATTATTGAGTAGATTGTGGAAGCAGGGGATCGTGTTGTCCCTATGAACTGTGAATTAAAGTCTGTAATCATTTTTCCCCTCTCACACACTGAAGGCAAGTAGCGGGTCTGAGAGTGGGAGCCCAAAAAGAAGAGGCCAGAGGCAGCTGAAGAAACAGTAAGTCTTTCATGGGACAGTTACTTCCCCCAGGGGTTTTGAACATGTCAGCTTCTCAGGGGCTCCCTTCTCTGTGTGGTCGTCCGTCCCGGGTCCCGGAGTCTGCTTCTTCTCTTGCTGTCTTGGGTTGCAGTCCGTCACGACCCACTGATGCCGCAGCCCTCAAAGCTCAGGGTTGCATGTGTTCCCATGTGCTTGGACTACTTCTTAGGGCAAACCCCAGCTTGTTCCATTTGGTTAGCCTGATTAGCACAATTGTGTTTTTCTTAAAGATGTGCACCAGTTGTATTCTGGTTGAGCAAGGAACAAATTTCGATTTGCTCTTTTTTCTTGTAATTTGTTCTTTGTGTGGGTGTGGCAACATTATATTTGTTGGACTGACACCCAATTTAGTATTAAATTTCAAAGTGTTATTACTGTATAATTTTAATACTGCAGTCTGCAAACCAGAAAATTTTAATTCTTGGGCTTAACATGACATTCCTTTAGAACGTAGACTATTCATTATTTTAAAAATTCACAAATTCTACTTAATTAAGGTGAAAAAAATTTGTTTCTGTTTTGGGTTTTTTTGGAATTAAAAAAATTACTTTTGGAGAGTGTCTGGATCTTTTTGACAGTCTAAATTCTATAGCCCACCTCTTGAGGAGCTTCATTTGAAAATGTAGCTATTGAAAACTTGGCAGACAAATTCAGGGGTTTCTCATGGTAAACGATTGTCCATGGTACCTATTAAAATAGAGCCCCAGTTATATGTATTTTCTGTTCTCAAATAGTAATTTTAGAATTAGTAATTAGAATTACTAATTAGTAATAGAATTAGTAATTAGAATTACTAATTAGTAATAGAATTACTAATTAGTAATCTTTAGTAAGTATTTGGCCTAAGGCAAAGGAGCTTGAATTTTTTAAACCCATGTACTCATCTTCAAAATAGAGTAATACTCATTCTGCCAACCTGACAGGGTTATTGGGAACGGTGTTAGGAAAAGTTGAGTATTTAGTATGTCCTCTCCAGAGCACATACACTTTTCATTTGTGTTTGAAATATTTGTTAGAGTTGGAGGAAAAACTGTAGGCAAGCCTGCACTTCTTGGCATCTTAGAAGGCTTTTTTCTACCCCATTCCTTGGCCTGCGTGGGAAATTATTCTGATCTGATGGCCTTTTGGGGGCTTTCGGGAAGTCTGTGCATGTGTTCTTTCCTTTACCATCTGGCTATGTTCTTCTGGTCTCCTGACTGGGATCTAAATGGTGCTGTGCTTGAAAACCTCCAGTTTCTACTTCAGTGGCGTCTGGGTGTGCAGAAGCGCACTGGCCCCTGTGCTCACTTTCCTTCTGTCAATCCTAGACGTCTCTAAAGTTGACCGTTTTTAGAGGCCTTCTTTCCCTGAGTAGAACCTCTTCGTTCCTTGCAGGGGGTTGTATCTTCTGTAAGTGCCCTTCCTTTCCCTGGCCTCTTCCCTAGGAACTTAGCCAGAGCTGGGGGAGTTCTCTTCCTGTTTATTTGGGCCCTGGGCTGGCCTCGCTTCCTGCTATCCTCTGGGCAGCAGGTGAGTACTGGGGCTTATAGGGAGCTCTTTTCCTGAGTCCGTTTAATTATAATGAGGAGGAGGAGGTGCAGTAGGGGCCGGCACTCCCGCTGCAAAGCCTCAGCACTAACGGCGGCCTGTGTGATGTGAGCAAGCATAACAGGACCTAGTGTGTGGGCATGTGGATTTCAGAATTGAGAGACTCAAAGGGGGCAGAGATTTTGAAGTATTAGCACAAGGAAAGGTTTTTCTGAAACGCTGCACGCTGTACCACAGATTTTGAAGTTTTTAAAAAGTTATTTTTTTAAACTTTTTAAAAATTCAAAGTTTAAAAATGTTGTAAGAATAAAGCAGTAGTACAAAGACTGCCTGTGTATTTTGCCCAGATTTACCATTGGTTACCACTTTTGCCTCATTTGTTTTTATTGTTGTGAGTGCTTTCTTTGTAAATATTTATGTATGCATGCATATAATATTTTTTCTGAACCACTTAAGACTAAGATTGACACACATCATGGCCTTTTACCCCTAAATACTGAAGTGTGGATTTCCTAAGAATAAGGATACTCTGTTTCTTAAGCACAGGATAGTTTTACTACAAATAGATTTAACATTGCTAACATAGTTTTGTCTAATCCATATCCCCATTTTGTTACTTGACCCAGGAATGTCTTTTATAACATTTCCCACCTCCACTGCAGGGTCCCATCTAGGATTAGATCCTGTATTAGTGGTCTTTCACAGCCCTTCTGTGCTCTTATAACGTTGGCATCTTTGAAGAATACAGTCTTACAAGGGAATAACTCCCCAGAGTCATAATGTAAGTTAGCATTTAAAAAATTTAGAAGCTATAGAGCATAATGTTTCTGCACGATATTGAGAACATTTTTCAAGTTGGCAGTGTTGAAAATTTGAGGGATGATGCTTAAGAATTCAGAGTTTTAGATTTTTTTTTTTTTGAGAAAATCTGTCAGTACTGGTCCTCATAACAAGTGGTCTTTGTAATCTTCAGATAGACTGGGAGTTCTCTGTTTTGACTCCATTTACAGTCCTTACCTGGCCGGAGTGGGTACTGGAGATTGTAACTCCTGACCTAGTCATGCTAACCAATAATTTTTCAAATTTTATTTGACCCACTCATGCTGTTTTGATTATTCAACCCTTTCCCATGCAGTACTTCTTAATATTGTCCAAATTTCTGAAATGTAGAGGACCTGTGCTGGCTCATTATGGTACCATCAGTTTTTCAGCCCACTCTAGAATGGTTCCAGAACATCTTCTCCCAACTGGAATGAAAAAAAAATGTGTTAGCCGTAAATCACTTGGAAGTTTTTCTTCTGGGACCATAGTTATTTTTTTCTTTCCAGTTCTTTGAATTGTAACTGTCAGAAACTTGTGACACAGTGGAGGATTTGCCCCAGAGTTTTCTTTTTCATTGAAACTTGCTCCTGAAAGGCATTCTCTCTGGGAAAATGTACTGAAAATCAGTGAAGTTTAAGCAGTTCTTTCCCTCTTTTCATGCTCTGCCTTCTAAAGTGGAGGAGAAAGGAATCCTCTTCTCTGGGCTCTTAGAGATAGTAGGAAGCCTCAGTGACTCTTGGCCAGAATTTAGGCCCATTTTATTTACAAAGGAATTTTACAGTTATTTAGATTTGATTTCTGTCTTAGGGTTTGTGTTCTGCCAGCCACCTTTTTCCAATAAAGGAAGAAAACCATACTTCGTTAGCTTGCATTCTGACTTTTTCATATCTGTTTACGTTGCCGTGGGGCCTCAGTGGCCAGACCTTGGTATTTTTATCCCTAGTCCCCACAATTTTGGTAAAAATTCCATTGATTCTCTCCTAGGGAATCCTGCCGATGCCCTCTTAGAGCTGGATCTGGCAATTCACATCTCCTATAACATATGAAAAAATTTTTAATCACAACCTTACGTTTTAGACAACTCCTCTTTGTAGCCTGACTTATACATATGGCTTAGTCAGGGAGTCGTGCTCATAAAGTTTGCATTATATAGAAGAAGCCAGTGATCTAGGAGAGCCCTCTACATCTACAGAGTTGGGAAGTAATCATTTTATAATGATCACTCTTTTCACCTTCCCTTTATACAAAGTGACTTAGTATTGCTGATCTAACTTTTCCCTCTGTTCTTGAAAGTTAAAACAAAATTTAAAATAATCCAGCCAGTTTCAGAACACATGCATACTAACTCATTTAGGCCTTCTAAGCCTTCTGTTCAGATCCTCCCAGAATGTGTAAGTCTGACTTTTCCTGATTTTGTGGTCTTCAGTGGATTGTCACTGAGAGGAGGAGGGCTGTAGGTTTGACATGTAATGCCAAACACCTTGTTCTCACTGGGTTTTAGTTTCCTTCTTTAGGAAGAGGACTTTGGACCAGTTGATTTGCTCAGTTTTTGTGCATTCTCATACTAGAAGTTTCTGAATCTTCCTGGCTGTCCATAAGTCTGTAGACCTCCAATTTAACTGGAGGACTCTAGCCTCAACACTGATTCTGTCAGTTTACTGCCACCTTAGTTCCATAAAGTCATAGAAGTGGACCTCATTAAGTGCCCTGAGTTAGATTCTTAATTCCTGTGGAGTTCCGTAAATTACAACTAATATTTGTGCATCTTTCTCATCTGATCTGCTCTCCCTCACATCTTAATTGTTCATGTTCTTTCAAGCTTGTTAACTGTGAAACCACTTCTCTCCAGTTTGACTATGTGTGTCCCTTCTGAGAGCCAAACTGTTCTCCCAAAGGAGACTGCAGTCTCATGTGCCAGTCTTCTAGTGCCTGGAGACATCTTCTTTCTTCCTTCCTGGCCGTCCCCGTCTATTCGTTTGGTTCCTTAGCAAACATTTGTTGTGCTAGGTTCTAGGGAGGGGGACTAACATGCCTAGAGTTTAGATATAAGGAATTCTTTGTTTAAAAAGGGACCTGCAAGGATATTATGCAATATTAATAGGCCTTAGTGTCTCAGCAGTCTGTGTCCAAAAGAAAAGTACCCTACCTGTTAGGCTGATACGGTTCATTCTTTAATTATTTCTTTCCTCAACAAGGAAGTAGCTCCATTTGCTTGCCTTTGTGCTGAACTCTGGTACAAAAATGAAGACAAGTGGCCCTGCCTCCTAGAAGCAGTCACTTACTCTAAGGGAAACTGATATGAAACCAACAGTGCTAGTAGAACTTGAGTAATGTACATAAAAGTGCTGTACTGCCTTTTCATGCTTCCTAAAGTAGGGTAGTTCCTGGACTTTTTAGGAAGATTCTTAGGAATCTGTAGATAAGCCACCTTCTTGCAGTAAGCTCCTGCTATTCCTTTGACCTATTCTCCCATGAAGAGTATTGACTTGACTTTGATTCTGTGACAGTTGTCTTCAGCATAATCTTATTTCCTATGCATAGACCCAGAGGCACAGTGGTAGTTGTTTTATAAAACCTCAGATACTTGCCTGTGAGGTTTTTTTTTCCCCTAGATATTTCATGCTCAGTGACTATTATGTGTTCTCTCCTTCTTCCCTAGAAATGAGCTAAGTCCCACGTTTGGTCTTTAAACCTCAAAAACTCTTTGGGGTGGTAGGAGAGAGCTATAAGGTACGGCTCTTTAAAGCCTTCTAAGATCTCAAGGAGCAAAGGAACACCTACTGTATCTAATAATTATTAAGAACTACATCTTTGGCTGAATAGATTATTTAGTAAGTGGTAGGTTTATCACTGAAAAATAATTTTAGGGACTTTTATCGAATATATTTTAAAGATGTTAGCATGTCTAGTATTATAGCAGTTTTAAAAGAAGTTTCTAACCAGTATTAGAATTTATAAAGATTCACATCATCTGTGAATTTGTTAAGATAAACATTTTTAGGCTTCATATTAGACCTGCTAAATCAGAAACTGTGGCACTCATCCAGAAATTTGTTTCAACAAGTTCTTCAGGTGGTTCTGATCATCTTACATTTGAGAACCACTGGTCTAGTATGTATTACGACTTCAATCTGTTCAATGGTAGTGGTAAATAAAAATAGAGTAGAAGAGATTTAACAGCTTTTTTTTTCCAGAATAGTTTAAAAAATACTTTCTTCATTTCCATTTTCATTTATTTTTGTCACCAGAGAAAAAATAGGCATAGATATTACACAGTCTAGGGAGGAACATAGCCAGAGTTTAAATAGAGCTAGAATAAACCTTTTTTAGCCTAATACCTAAAATATACATGTTCTGCCTTTTGGAGAATCCTATTGAAATTGGTTTTGTCAGATTCTTCAAACTAAACAATCCTGAGGAGTTCATTTAGAAAAAAATCATTTTGCTTTGCTTTTGATCACAGAGAAAAATGGAAACGGGAGCCCTCAGAAGATGAACAGGAACAAGGCACCAGTGCAGAGAGCGAACCAGAGCAGAAAAAAGTGAAAGCCAGAAGACCTGTCCCCAGAAGGTGCAGTGTTTGCTTGAACATCTCTGCTTCTGGTGGAGCTTAGTTTGTCTTAGTTTGAGAAGGATGGTACAGTGGTAGAATGATGGCCTACGGTGTGCTGTGATTCGGGGCTTTGGAAGTCTCGGGCTCACTTCTTGCTAGGCTTCCTCGTTAGCAAGTGATTAGGTGATGAGGATGCTTACATTTGGCTGTGGGTGTTTGCATGGTGTGTCGTGTAGAGCGAAGCTTCTGTTTCTTACTCCCTGACTTACTAGTTACGAGGGGTGAACGTATCTTCTGCTTTTAAAAAAAGCTCCCTGTGTATTGGAGTAGTATGCAGGCTTTTTGGGGGAAGAACTAATTCCTAAGTTTAAAACACTGTTTGGTTGAAAGCATGCTTCACTGTTTCTTACCTTGTTCTTGGAATCTGACATTAAGCAGAGAATCTGATTGTGCAGGGAAAGAAGTAGGCCGAGGTCGCAGGGAACTTTGGTAATTAAAAAAAAAAAAATGTCTATTTGTTTTGAGAGGTGGGGCGATGGGCAGAGAAAGAGGGAGAGAGAGAATTCCAAGCAGGCTCCATGCTGTCAGCACAGAGCCTGATGTGGGGCTTGATCTCACAAACCATGAGACCATGACCTGAGACAAAATCAAGAGTTGGATGCTTAAGTGATCTGAGCCACCCAGGTGCCCTGAAACCTTGGTGGTAATTTCATTAGCTGGCTGGCAATGTAAGGTACTCATGTTGGGGGAAGGAGGGCAGGAGGCAGAGATCTCAGGGGAATTTTCCTCCTTGCAGTATTGCTCAGGATGGGGGTTGGCAGGCTGTTGCCTTTGGGCCACATCCCACTCAATCACCTATTTCTGGATGGCCTGTGAGCTAAGTATAGCATTTAGAGATAAACATTTATAGTTTGATGATAGGCAACACTAAATTTGAACCTCAGTTCAGTGAAATGTTATCCCTTCAAAAAGAATTCAGTTCTTCTCATTAGATGTGTATCCCATAAATCCTGTGATTATTATTTCATTTTGAGTTTTGTCAGTAAAAATTACGTGAAAATTTATTTTTTCTTGTTAAGTAAGTGCCTGCATAGTGGCCTCAATTTTGCATCTTGTCTGGGAAAGCCAACAGTATTTGTGCTCTGGACTTTTGCAGCCAACATTTGCCTACCTCTGAGTTAGGACACTACACTGGCCCACCATGCTGGCAGGGAAATTTGTCAACTTAGTTTGGTCACAGGACTGGAAAGCCACTTGAGCTTTTTCTTCTGGAGTTTACCTGTCATTTATTGAATCCCTGATCATCTCTCTGTAGTGTTGCTTATGGAAGGTGTGAGAGAAACAGATAAGATTGTGAGTTTCCATCTGTCTCTTTCTCCTGTTTTCACCTTTTTACCACTGGTAGAGTATTTCGGGATTTCCTTACGGGAGTGCCTAGGCTGTAGTTCTCAGTCCTGGCTGTGTGTGAGTTCCCTTGGGTGGCCATCTCCTTAGTCTGTGTGGCAGGGTGTGGTTTCTCAGGTAGTCTTCCAGATATATTTTGTACATGTCACACAAATATGCGTGTAGTTATTTTTTGTCTTTTGCTCCTTTTTTTTTTTTTTTTCCAACGTTTATTTATTTTTGGGACAGAGAGAGACAGAGCATGAACGGGCGAGGGGCAGAGAGAGAGGGAGACACAGAATCGGAAACAGGCTCCAGGCTCTGAGCCATCAGCCCAGAGCCCGACGCGGGGCTCGAACTCACGGACCGTGAGATCGTGACCTGGCTGAAGTCGGACGCTTAACCGACTGCACCACCCAGGCGCCCCACGTCTTTTGCTCCTTTTATGCAGATAGCATTTCATGCATCTTGTTCTGCATTTAAAATATGTATATATATATTTTTAACATTTATTTATTATTGAGAGACAGAGAGACACAGAATGTGAGCAGGGGAGGGGTAGAGAGAGGGGGAGACACAGAATCTGAAGCAAGCTCCAGGGTCTGAGCTGTTAGCACAGAACCCGATGCCGGGCTCGAACTCACAAACCGTGAGATCATGACCTGAGCCAAAGTTGGATGCTTAACTGACTGAGCCACCCAGGCACCCCTGCATTTTTCTTTAGTTATCTTGGAAATCTTTTCATATCAGTACATGGAAAAGTTTTTTGTTTTTTGTTTTTTTAATGCCTACCTAGTTATTCTGTTGAGTGAACTGATTCCAAGTTGATGAAGATTTAGAGTTTTCCTAGTCTTTTGTTAATTGCAAATACTACAGTGAATACCTTATTGTGCCTGTATCAGTGTATACCTGTAAGATCAACTCCCAGAAATGAAAAATGTTGACATTTTTAAGTTTGATAGATATTTCCAAGTTGTCTGCCAAAGAAGTACCATCAGTAACATGTTGCATGTATATTTTTATATCAGCCCTGAGGAATAGTTGAGAACCATTGCCTCAGAATTCACTTGAATCTCCTATATGTGTTTGAGGATTATCAGTATTACAATTACTTTTGTGTTGAAAATGCAGATTTCTAGTTGATTAGAATCTTAGCAAATGGGACCCAGGAATATACATTTCTGACATTCCCCAGGTTAATCCTATATATGTATTGTGGCTCTGGGAAATTATAGATTTGAAATAGACACCAAGTGATAGAATAAAAACTTTGCCAATTTTTCTCTTCTCATTTTAGAACAGTGCCCAAACCTCGTGTTAAAAAGCAACCTAAGACTCAGCGTGGAAAGAGAAAAAGGCAAGATTCTTCTGATGACGATGATGAAGATGATGAAGCTCCTAAAAGGCAGACTCGTCGCAGAGCAGCTAAAAATGTTAGGTAGGTCGTGCCCCAGAAGTGTTTCATTAGTGTGAGGGTGATAGTTGGGTAGAACTTGGTTCAGGTGAGTCCATCATTTTGCATTTTTTTTTTCTTTAAGTTTATTTTGACACAGAGAGAGAGAGAGAGAGTGCTCGTGTGCACACACTTGAGAGCATGAGTTGGTGGTGGCAGGGGAGGGGGCAGAGAGACAGAAGCCCAGGCAGGCCCTGTGCCGTAAGTGTGGAGCCCATTGTGGAGCTCATACCCACAAACTGAGATCATGGCCTGAGCCAAAACCAAGAGTCCGATGCTCAACTGACTGAGCCACCCAGGTGCCACCAGGATTTTGCAAAATTTTGGATTTTGATAGGCAAAAATAATGACCCGTGTCCTGAGGTTGTGTTTAGAAATTCGATCATTGTTCTTGCAAAAAAGAATGATGTTGGCCAGTGGGAATATGGAAGGAATAGCAGTGGTTCATTTCTGGCCTTCATTCCTGTAAAGAAAAGCACTTCAAGTTGATGTTCTATTGAGGTGGGTTAGTCAGTGATAACTGTCACACTTTTTAAGGAAAGATGTTTGGATTATATTCTCACTTCTAAATTGCTCTTTCAATCAGACAGATTGTTCTGAGGATCACTTTATGTACTGATATTTGGGTGTAATTTTATTAAGCTTACTAATAGGATATGGAGCATTAATAGAAAATGAAATAAAGGAATAGATACATGCAGACATCAGTATTTTACTTTATATGAGTCCAAGGATATTTCATTTTCTTTCAGAGGATACACAAGTTTCTTTTGGTCTACTGAGAGATAGTGAAACTAAGTCCTGGAGATATTAACCTGTCCAGTGTGTCTAGTTAATGATTCCAAAGCTTGGACAATGTGCTGAATATGCCAAAGTGTACATTTTCCTCCTGCAGCTCTTGTACATCCAGGATTGTGTTTTTCTCTTGTGTGACTCCCCGGTGAAAGGTTACATTGTGAAAGGTTACGTTTTGATATTTCATTACCAGGAAGTATGTTTGTTGAAGTTTTCAACAGTTTGAGGATACTTAAATTTCATATTCTTGTTATCAGACAAAATACGGGGTTGAAACATTTCATCTTAGAAATAGTGTTTCCTTTTTGCTTAATGAAACAGTAGCTGTTTTTTCATTCAGTATGTTTTCTTTGTAGTTTCCTTGTTTACATAGTAACCTCCTGTTGAAAAACAAAAGCATAGGCATGTCCTTGTAGTTTTCTCTATCTTGCTTACACAAATCACTACAAACAGTAGTCTGTTTTTATTTTGAACTGTAAGCCTTCCTACAGTTCTCCATGAACATGCATTAATACTTAAGTAGGAGAAAACAGGTACTTTGAGCCCACTTTATCTGTGGCTGATCTTAAAACAACATGCTGGAGCCAAAAGGATATGGTTCTTGAACGTCGTTGTATTTGGTCTTTAATTCTGGAAAGGTAGTCTCTCATTTATCCAGCACCATTTCTCACGCAGCTATAAGGAAGATGATGACTTTGAGACCGACTCTGACGACCTCATCGAAATGACTGGAGAAGGAGCCGATGAACAGCAGGACAACAGTGAAACTATTGAGAAGGTCTTAGACTCAAGGCTGGGAAAGAAAGGAGGTATGTCTCTGTGGGGAGCAAATTATGTCTTACCTACTCAGGCCCAAATCTTCTGTATTTCAGCTCTCAAATGAAGAATTTCAGTCCATGCTCACAGTGGTCGTGAAATGTGGAAGCTGTTCTGGCATAATGTCATGTTTCATTAGCAGAGGATGTAGGGATGTGTCCAGTATGTCTTTGAGACTTGAAACTTAAGATGTGTTTATAGCTTAAAAAGCAGTGATGTCGCAGATACTCTGGTTTATAAACCTGAAACAAATTTACCTTTAATTAGGTGTTTTGAATCTCCTGGGTGATAGGGAATGAAGATTTTTTTATATCTAACTTGAGGTGTCTTATAACTTAGTTTCTTTAACCTTTCCATATAGAAAATATCAAAATACTGCTTAATTCTTTTTTCTTTTTTGTTTCCATCCAGCCTCCCTTTTGGTTAAGAGTTAACACAGAACTTTGGGTGGATGGCTAATTGGTGTGGGATGGTGGCAGGGGGGGGGGGTCTTTCTTTGTTTCTTTCTTCTTTTTTTTTTTTTTTTTTTTAATGTTTATTCATTTTTGAGAGACAGAGACAGAATGCGAGCAGGGGAGGAACAGAGAGAGAGGGAGACACAGAATCCGATGTAGGCTCCAGGCTCTGAGCTGTCAGCACAGAGCCCGACATGGGGTTTGAACTCATGAGCCATGAGATCATGGCCTGAGTCGAGGTTGGACACTCAACTGACTGAGCCACCCAGGTGCCCCTATTTCTTAGTATTCTTGGAGAGACAGATTTGTTTTCTGAGTTAGTAGGAACCAAACCAGAAGGATGTTGCTCTTCCATTTCTCTTGTGTTTAGACACAAGGATTTGTTTGATTTCACCAACATATTTTGGAAAACATTTTAAAGTGTAGAAATTGGGTTTGCGTTTTGACAATATTTGAAATTATGAATCTTGTTCATCCTGTATTGTTTGTGAATTTCTGCTTATTTTTCAGTCAACAGGATTTTGATGCTTCATCCAAAAAAAGATTCTTTAGCTGAATGTGTACTCAGGAAGCCTTTTCAGGGTCTGATTTAATATACTTTTAAATGTTTACCTGAATCCTTTTGCAGCTACGGGAGCTTCTACTACTGTATATGCGATTGAAGCTAATGGAGACCCAAGTGGCGACTTTGACACTGAAAAGGATGAGGGTGAAGTCCAGTACCTCATCAAGTGGAAGGGTTGGTCTTACATCCACAGCACATGGGAGAGTGAAGAATCCTTACAACAGCAGAAAGTGAAAGGTCTAAAAAAATTAGAGAACTTCAAGAAGAAAGAGGATGAAATCAAGCAATGGTACATTTTTCAAGCAATGGTATATTTGCAGCCTTGAGGGAAGGAAGGTTTTTAAAGAATGTGTGGAGCACATAGCTGTCTAGGAACTCAGATTTTGCCTTAATTATCTGAACACAGAGCTGGTCACAATTCCATTTTATAAAATTGTGACCTGAAGACACTATATATATATATATGTTTTTGTATACGGCCACCAATTTTGCAGAGTTTGATAATAATAATAAGTAGCTTATGGAGCATTTTGCACACCCAGTGTTTTTTATCCTCATGATAAGCCCATGAGATTTGTACCATTGTACACATTTTGTGGATAGGGAGAGTGAGGCACAAGGCCACTTTTCTGGGAGGTCCCAGGATTGGAGCTCTGGCAGCCCAAATCCAGAGCTAAGTCTTAGGCACCCTGTCATTTTCCTGTTATTACGCTGGGGTGGCTTAGATGTCAGGAGTTAATATTCCAGAACTGTCTGGGTTACAGTACACTTACCACTAATCTCGGTTTTCACAATTTGCAGAAATGATGTGACTGAAACAGATGAACTCCTGAAGCTCTGATAGACCATTGTTTTTAGTTTAATTTACTTACAACTTTGAAGGTGGTTAAGTTGCATATGAGAAATATGTGGGGCCTATAGCACCCACAGACCTAAACTGACTAATTAGAGGGATCAGGTTCAACCCTGAAGACACACCTGCCAGTGTAATGTGATCAGGTTATTTTGTATTAGAAATAGGGCCAGATGGGTTCTAATTCCCATTTTACTACTGTGCACGATGTGCTCCTTCAGTAAATCACTTACTTTTCCTTTAGGTATCCCTAAGAATGGGGTCGGTTGTAAAGCAATTACAAATTTAAAATCCTCGGAAGTACAGTAATAGTTCATTTCAGCTTGCCAGTATTGTCCTTCTATAGAATTTTAGTCCAAAGAATAACTAGCTTTGTGTAAAAGCTACATTTAATCTCTCCCAAAGCACATACCTATATGAAAAAGGCATGTTTCCTTTTAAATCTGGAAGACAGTTTTATGGTCCTGTTCTGTTTAGATATTGGAATTTATTACACAAAGTAATTATTTTTAGGTTTCTTTATAAAGAAGGAACAACTGGTATGTTTTATGAGTCTAAGGTTTCCTAAAAATGTATGTTTTTTATAAAATCTCTGGCTTAATTACTAGTAAAGGATTGCTAAAGGGACAGATGGAAGTAAAGGCTCAGTTTCCTTTGCTCTTCTTAGACTTTGCTTTGATAGATTTGTATGGATCTCCCAAATCTAATTGGAATGTATTTTTCTTTTCTTCTGTCTAGGTTAGGAAAAGTCTCTCCTGAAGATGTGGAATATTTCAACTGCCAACAAGAGCTGGCCTCAGAGTTGAACAAACAGTATCAGATAGTCGAAAGAATAATCGGTGAGCACATGGAAACTTATTTTAGCAGTGTTTGAGCTCCGCAAATAATGGCTTTTGGTTTTGGGGTATTGTAAATTTAAAAATGCATTTTGTAGATTTACTTGTAGAGAATAGATGTAGGGGAAAAAAGGCAAGAGAATACACAGCTATCTAGATTGATTTTGAAGGAAGAGTTAACAAGATTTGCTGGTAAATTTGGACATGGGAGATGAGAGAAGGCGGTGTCAAGTACGATGCCAAGACTTATGACCCAGGCAAATAGGAGAACAGAGGTACCATTTACTGAAATGGAAAGGCTAAGGGAAGAACTGGCTTGGAGTGGAATTCAAGAGCTGGGTTTGATATTTGTAAGTTTGCTATTCTTCTTGGTTGACTAATTGGGGAGTATCGTGAAGGTTGTATGTAGCATATGTGAGCTTGGAGTTTAGAACTCTCAGTCTGCGCTGGAGATTTATATTTGGGAATTTATCAGTATGTAGATAGTATTTAAAGCCTAAGATTTACTGAGATTATCAGAAATAGTATACCTCGTGAGACTAGGAAGTTTGAGAGCATTCCAGGTTTTGGAAGTTACGGAGAAGCCACAGGAGAAGAGAAATAAAGTCTGGTGAGAGAGGAGGGGGGCTGAGAGCATGATGCTCTGGGGGGAAGGAGGACTGAGACTTGATCCTTGAACTTGGGCTGGTTCAGGATCTGTGGAGTGGTGGGGATGAGGCCTGATTGGGGTGGCTTCAAGAGAGAATGAGGGGGACACCGTGAGTAAAAACAACTCTCCTGGGGAGTTTTGTTGTAAAGGGGAACATAAACGGGGTTGTAGCTACTCAGGGCTGTGAGAGCAAGACAGGTGTTCCTTTTTTTTTTTTTTTTTTTTTTTTAAATGATGTCAGAATATAGAGTATATTTGTATTCTTATTCATAGGACCTAAAATGTCATTCTTTCCTTGATTATAGTGATAACTTTTCTGTCGTATTTTCCTTTTGTGTAGCCGTGAAGACAAGCAAATCTACATTGGGTCAGTCAGATTTTCCAGGTAAGCAAAAGATTTGGTTAACAAAATGTTAGTGAGCATCTAAGAGCAGTTCAGGTTTTGCAGTGTATTTAGTTTTGCCACTTGGTGTTTCAATGGTTATGTGTAAAACAGTGACACTCCCCTTCTTTGATTGACAGTTGCTAATCTACTAATTTTTGTATACCAAACAGCTCACAGTCGGAAGCCGGCACCTTCAAATGAACCTGAATATCTATGCAAATGGATGGGACTGCCCTATTCAGAGTGCAGCTGGGAAGATGAAGCCTTGATTGGAAAGAAGTTCCAGAGCTGTATTGACAGCTTCCATAGTCGGAACAACTCAAAAACCATCCCGACGAGAGAATGCAAGGTGTGGTGATGGCTGGCTTTTGGTTTTTCGGGGGAAAGATGTATTGGTGGGAAGGGTTGGTCACATAGATATTGGGAAGAGAAAATGTACAAAAGTAAATGATAATTCCCATTTTGATGTGAAAGATGAATTAACCTTGACATCAAAGGAAAATATTAAAACAGAAGAAGGTGAATTGTATAATGGCTTCGCTGACCTCTTTAATCTTAAAATTCACGGAACTGGATATGTCTAATTAGAGATATTGTGCAGAATATTTGAAAGAATTTAAGCACTTTAAAGAGACGTGACATTGTATGGTGGGGCGCCTGGGTGATTCAGTCGGTTGAGTGACTGATGGTTGAGCGACTGGTGGTTCAGTTGGTTGAGCATCTGATTTCAGCTCAGGTCATGATCTCATGGTTTGTGAGTCCAAGCCCTGTGTCAGGCTCTGCACTGATAGCATGGAGCCTATTTGGGATTTTCTCTCTCTCCCTGTCTCTGCCCCTCAATCACCCCAGCACATACATTCTCTCTCTCTCTCTCTCTCAAAATAAATAAACTTAAATAAAATAAAGAAATGTGACGGGAAAGGGGAGAAGCTCTGAATTCTAAGTTAGAAACCAAACATACAGGCTTTTTATTTGCTTGATTGTTTGCATAAATCCTTTCCCTTTTTTGGAATTCATTCCACATGTAAAATGGTGTGCTTGGGTCCTTGGCAGAAGAAGTCTGTGTAAGACATGGGCTCTGTCTCTGAGGAGTTGACCTCCAGTTCATGGCACCAGACCTCCATCTGTGGAATGCAGTGTGTATTTGAGGGGGCAGTGAGTGTAAAAACGAACTGTGGTCAGAGAAGTACAGAGGCAGGAGTCACTGAGCTCCAGTAGTCCATGGGGAGGTTTTAAGGGTTAAAGAGATTGCACTGCTTGAATTGCCCTGGTTCTTGAAGAATGGGTTGGTGCTGGATAGACAGATGGAAGGGGGCCCAGGTTATTGCCCTCCCCTGAAAGGCATCAGGAGAAAGATGGTCTTGGGGCTGGAAGAGAGGAAGGTGTTATTGGCAAGTGCACTTAGGTCCGAGTGTGCGTGTCTTGAATACCTTGGAGGGTAATGCTGGCTTTATCTGGTGGGTATGGACACGCCTACCTCCCTGAGAGAGAGCAGCATGATGGAAACAGTGTTGTATTCGGAAAACTTCATGTAATGGCAGTGTGTAGTTACGAAAGCCAGAAGGTCCAGCCAGAAACATGCCCTGGAAGTCCGTGAGGGAACCACAGTGTGCGGACAAGGGAAGTCACTGGGATGCAAGGATTGGAGGGGAGGAAGCTCTGGGGGAGCCGTGGCAGAAGTGGACGTGGGGCTCGGTGGCTGAGTGTGAGGATTCAGATTCTGTTCACTGCTGGGTGCTCACAGAGGAGAGGTGAGATGGTCAGTAATCACCTTAACCAAGTACACTGTTAGGGCGATACATCATGTAATAGGGTGCTGATTCCATAGAGCCCTAATTTTCAGAGAAATGCTCACTATGAAAAGACTTTGTGGCCAAAGAACTTTGGGAAGCATTCCTAAATGAAGTTTTTCTGTAAATTCACAATATGGACAAGCGTTTTAGACTTTGAAAAGTTACAGTAATGAAATTTATGTAACTTGTGTTACATTGTTTCCCAAATGGATTTAGTCACAGAATCCACATTTTGTACTGTGCAAAGCATAGAGACATGACCTTACTAGACTGATGTTCTTCACATCCTTTCCTTTAGAAAACCAAGCTCACACACTTGGGGGGGTTCAAGGTCAGGGGGTTGGCATTTTGGAATTTGCAGATGTTCTTATGGTGACCTTCTGCTGTGTTTGGCATATACAGACTTTCCCAGTGGTCTTGTTTTGTACTGTTTAGAATGAGATTATAAAGATGAAAATGGAGCACTCCCTGCCATATGATAGAGATGATGTAAGATGATAGTGCTGTGTAAGGATGTTCACAGACTGACTTCAGGACAGGAGCACGTTAACCAAAGACTATTTCAGGATACATCTGGCTTTGGGAGTACAGACCTCAATGAAAGGAGGTGTGGGTGCGGTGGGGTAGGTGAGGTTGGTGATTCAGATGTGAAATTTAAACTTCGGTGCTTTAGTTCAGAGCACATAAATCATAGGTAGCATTTTAACATGGGAACAGGAAGAAAGTCTTTTTCAGACGTGGGCTTTGTGAATTTTTTTGTTTTTCAGGCCTTGAAGCAGAGACCACGATTTGTGGCTTTAAAGAAACAGCCAGCATATTTAGGAGGGGAGAATCTGGAGCTTCGTGATTATCAGCTAGAAGGTCTCAACTGGCTTGCTCATTCCTGGTGCAAGTAGGTAGAAAATAGGTTTGAAATTCTCTGTACCGTTTTTGGCTTCTTTATTTTTAAGTGCAAATAATTATTTCTGTTGTGTATTATAGAAACAAAAATATATGATTGAGAGAAGGCTTTTGTAGGAGTTCATATGTATGTGTAATACCATTTTAATCTGAAGTAAAGAATACTTTGTTAATTAGTTATTTGGGGATAATTTGTCCTAGCCAGAAACCTATGTCATAACATGTTGTTTATGAGTGTGAATATAAGTCGCAAGTTAATTTGCCCACATCTGTGATGTGGAAGTCGTTTTTCTCGGGAAGAAAGAAGATGTCTGTTTTCCATTCATTTTCCTTCTAGGCCAGGGAAACCTTTCCCCTCATTTCTTGTGGTAGTGCTGAAGAACAGTGTGAAACACCCCCCTCCCTCCTAAGGTTGCTGTACGTGCTATCCCATGTAGAGGAAGGTCTCTGATGGTTGAACCTATAAAATTGTCCTTACTTTTTGTAACAAAACCACCTTAATTTTGAAAAGGAAAGGTGTGACGATGAAAGCATATGAGGTTTAAAGGTCCTTGGAGTTAGTACTCATGGATGTTGTTCATCAGATCAATTGCAAATCTAAGTAGTCTCTGATTACTATGTGTCAGGCCCCATCTAGGCCTGGACAGTTTGAACAGTGAACCAAGACAGACCTAGTTTCCCTGTCCTCCCAGGGCATACAGTGTGGGAAGGATCTTTCATGCTTACCTACAAACTCCTTCCCCCACATGCAATTCTTAAGTGCTTCAGTGTTTTACAGTAAGGCAAAAATTCTTGTTTCCGAATTGAACTGCAGCCTGGAAATAAAACCATGTGAACTGGTTTTCTCAATGCCAAAAAGTGGTTTCTGGTTAGAGGTACATTTAGAATGCCTGCTTCCCAATGAAACTACCTATATTCTTTGTCCTATAAAATCTAATACAGCATCTAGCATTCAGTTATGAACATTAGAGCCCTTGGGGAGCTTCATTTTGTGTGACTAAGGATGTAAGTCTGATAGAACTATTCTAAATTGCGTAAAAACTGGTTTTGTTTCAGAGAACAGGGAGATCTCATGTTCCTAGAAGATAGTTCTAAAGCTAGGTGGAACCTCAAGAGGTTGTGTGATCCAGCCCTCTCATTTTGTACTTGAAGGGTCTTAGCCACAAAGATGTCATGTGCAGTCATGTCACGACCATCACTGTCACACCGTGTGCTGAAGAGGACCCAAACAGTTGTTAGGCCCTGGTCACAGGAACCTTACGTTAAGTAATATGCTGTTTTGGCCTAGTTTTAGAAAAACAGGGAAATCCATTCAAATCTCTTTCAGTGTATGAACAATGGCAGTTTGTTAGGGAGAGGAAATGTTGGAGAAAATCCTGTTTCCTCCCTACTAGCGTGGAAAGGTGAGAGAAATAGGGGGGAAATTACACAAAGGAACATAACATATCTGAATAGTGCATAAATTATAGAGATTTAGATTATAGAGATTTAGATTTAGATTTAGATTTATAGAGAGGTATGGCCTCTTCCTTCTCCCCTGCCCCAGTATATTTGCCTTTGTCCTTTTCTTTTCCCATAAAACTAGCCATTCTGTGGAACACGGAATGTATTTTTAAAAATTCAGTCTCGGGGCGCCTGGGTGGCGCAGTCGGTTAAGCGTCCGACTTCAGCCAGGTCACGATCTCACGGTCCGTGAGTTCGAGCCCCGCGTCAGGCTCTGGGCTGATGGCTCCGAGCCTGGAGCCTGTTTCCGATTCTGTGTCTCCCTCTCTCTCTGCCCCTCCCCCATTCATGCTCTGTCTCTGTCTGTCCCATAAATAAATAAAAACGTTGAAAAAAAAAATTAAAAAAAAAAATTCAGTCTCTTCTTGGTAAATTAAATGTCTTGTATTTCTAATCCATTCTGTTCTTTGTAATTTGTCTATTATTTTTAGTTCTTTCTGGGTTATTGATTAAACATTTGTTATACATGTATAAACCTTTAATGGCCTGATTTTTCTAGAAACTCTTAATGTTTGCAGCCTTTTGCCATGTATATATTTCTAATTCCCTGCCAAACGGGCTGTTTTCTATTTCCTGAACATACTTTCCTACTCTGGCCATTTCTTCAAGTGTTTTTCTTCTAGCTGAACAATCCTCTCCTGTTAGTATCCTGTTGAAATATCCAGACTGTCTCCTAGAGCAGTGTTTCTCAAAGTGTGGTCCAAGGAATACACCTGCATCAGAATATCCAGAAGTGTCTGTTAAAAGTACAGCTCTTTGAGCTGTACTGATTTGTACTGATTGTTCTGATTTGGTAGGTGTAGGGTGGATTCAGAAATCTGATTTGCAGCCTGTCTCTGCTGTAGACTGTGCTGTATTTAAAACAAGCTTCTGGGGCGCCTGGGTGGCTCAGTCGGTTAAGCGTCCGACTTTAGCTCAGGTCACGATCTCATGGTCCGTGAGTTCGAGCCCCGCGTCAGGCTCTGGGCTGATGGCTCAGAGCCTGGAGCCTGTTTCCGATTCTGTGTCTCCCTCTCTCTCTGCGCCTCCCCCGTTCATGCTCTGTCTCTCTCTGTCTCAAAAATAAATAAACGTTAAAAAAAAAAATTAAAAAAAAAACAACAACAACAAGCTCCAGATCTGCAGCACATAGGCCTGGGGAGGAGTGTATGTAGCATGAAACAACCCAGCGGCATGCAGTGGAGTGGGTGGGTGATTTGAGCAAAGGCACGTGGCCATCAGGCTGTAGGGTTCACCAGCAGTTGGGATAGCCAGTTTGCCCCCCTGCTTTCTGTAATGGTGGAGCCCAAGGTCATGTTCTTGGATACCCCAATAAAACAAAACCTGCCTTCTGTGTTACAAGGGGTAGATGTAAAGGAACAAAATGCAAGGTAAAGAACATAGTCCGAATAAGCTCTTTCCAAAGCTTGATTGTACTTAGATCACTTGTTCTTCTGCTATTTTGTAGTTTCTACTACAAAGGAAATACAGTTGAGGCTGGTAACCAGTGCCTTGCTTGGTGAATTGGGAGTCATTGGTGTCCTTGCTGTTTGTGCACATGCTGGTTTGTGTGTGTGTGTATGTGTGTGTGTACACGTACTAATGGTTTTGTTTTGTTTTGTTTTTATTTTTCTCTTCCTGCAGAAGTAACAGTGTAATCCTTGCTGATGAAATGGGCCTAGGAAAGACCATCCAGACCATATCATTCCTCTCCTACCTGTTCCACCAACACCAGCTGTATGGCCCCTTTCTTATAGTCGTCCCTTTATCCACCCTCACCTCATGGCAGAGGGAGTTTGAAATCTGGGCACCAGAGATTAACGTAGTGGTTTACATAGGTGACCTGATGAGCAGAAATACGGTGTGTAAACAAAAAGAATTGGGATAGAATCTGTGTTATAAATGTATTTTGGAAATTGACCTAAAACCATTATAGCCTTTAGTAACATTATGATTCCGACACTGTAATGTGCCCCCACTCTTGGGAGATTTATGTATCACAAAAATGCAACTCACATATTCTTTAAAATACGCTTACTATATTAAAGGAAAGCAATAGCAGTATGTGAATGGGAATTTGTTTTAGTTGGATTGCAGTATTAAGTTTTTCTTCTCTTTGTCTCATATTTCTAAGACTATTTTATTTATAATGGATTATAAGATGGAGTTAATACCCTGTGGAATGTTAATATTATTTTTGCTGTTTGAACAGAGAGATACTACTAAAAATGATCAAGTTCTTAGAGTTTGTTTCCCAGCCTTTTAAAATGGTGAGGTTGCATAACTTAGTAAGGTAGGAATAATGAGAAAGGACAATGGACTTTGCTGGGGCTATAGAAATGAGAATTATTTGTCTGTTTTCAACCTTAACTTGAGCATAGGGAACTTAGAACAGAGAGGCTTGAGTTGGTCTCTGTTTAGCAGTTCTTTTCTTGATTATGAGTAATTTTTTTAAAAGCACCTGTTGTGTGTGAGGGCTTGTCTGTGCTGGGTGCCTTTTACAGGTATATTACCTGTAATCCTCATGATAGTCCTCATGATAGTGGACTCAGAGTTTAACACTTGTCCACAGGCCAGCTACAAAGTGGCAGAGCTGCGGTTGGGACAGAGATGTGTCTGGTCCCAGACCTTTGCTCTTTCATTACTGTGTGTTAGAGAAAACTGTTTCTGGGAGATTGCTTATCCCAAGAGAAAGCCATCAGGAATTCTCAAACTTTTGAGAGATATGTTATATATTATACCGATTGAAACTTATTTTTATTAAATGTTTTCATTCAAGTCGTCTAACCTGAACCGGGTAGATTTGCAGATTTCCCTGCTCTAATTTTGAGTTTCTAAGCAGTTCTTAGCTTTGCTAATCTATTTGTTAACCATTATAAAAGAAAAACACTTCCTAGATGATGCAAAATGGCTTCGAGCATTACATTCAAAGGTGAAGACAAAGTGAACTCTGAAAATTGTGGAGTCAGGGAAATCTTCTTTTCTTAAATTTTTTTAACGTTTATTTATTTTTGAGAGAGAGAGAGAGAGAGAGAGAGACCCGAGTGCGAGTTGGGGAGGGTCAGAGAGAGAGGGAGACACAGGATCTGAAGCAGGCTCCGGGCTTCAAGCTGTCAGCACAGAGCCCAATGCAGGGCTCGAACTCACGAACTGTGAGATCGTGACCTGAGCCAGAATCGGATGCTCAACTGACTGAGCCACTCAGGCGCCCCGAGTCAGGGAAATTTTCTGTGTGGACTCTCATACTCCTTTTCTTTGCTCTTCCCACTTGGTGGTGATTACCTGCACGTACTCCTTGTCCTGTTTCCCGGTCCCCAACTTGACAGCCAAACTACAGGAGCCTTGTTATGGGCCATCGTGCCTGCTGGGCGGCCGATCACACTGCAGTATGATGGGCCATTGTGCCTGCTGTGTGTCCGGTCACACTGAAGTATGAATGTGTTAGTTTTTGTGTTCCTTTACATTAACATTATTTTCATGCATTTTACATTTTCATCCTGTAACCTTCCTTTTCCTTTTTCTTGGAGGCCACATCTTTCTGCTCTAGATTAATGAAATTTCTGACCAAGCCAGAGGTTGGGAATTGTTCTATTTGTTAATAAAAGTATTGCACTACCAAAGAGCAAAGAATAATAAAATATTCCTTAAGAAAATTCACATTCTGGGAGGTTGCTAGATCAGTTCAAGTCACCAGGGTTTAATTGCAGGTGGAATGCATTTTTTTGTCAGTTTTGTCAGATGTATTGGGATGGGGGCAGGGGGAAGTGATAGGTTATTTGAGTTCTGGCAGTAAAGTTTCTGCTGCTCAGTGATCTTTTAATTCTTTTACTGCTCTATAGTTTGGTTGCTTCAGTCAATTTAGAATGTATAAAATATTCATTAAATTCTAATCAGTTTTTTTATTTGGCATGTTTCTATGCATCTGTCACAAGACTGCTGGTGATAAGAAAGGTAAAAGTTGAAATTGTATCTTAATTACTGATTTCTCTTCTAGATACGGGAATATGAATGGATTCATTCTCAGACTAAAAGGCTGAAGTTCAATGCACTTATAACAACATATGAGATTCTCTTAAAAGATAAGGTGTGTAATTTTGTAGTGTGACTTGTCCAAATGGTGGGCTCTTTGCTTCCCGCTTGCCATGTTGCTTTTCTTTATTTAGTGAAAAACAGACAAGTGAGCAAACAAAAATCCACAAAGAATACTGAGCTTATAAATAAAAATCAGAACCTTACAGTTGAATGGGACTTTAGATCGCTTAGTCCAATTGAATTAAATAGTAGGATGAAAGGGTATTGAAGCCAGTAACTTACCTGAGATTCTAGTCAGCCATTGGAACCTGGGCTTGATTGCCATCCCAGGCATTTCCCATCGTATCATCGCAAAGGAATTTCTCCACAACAGATGATGAGAATGGTCTCTGTGAGGAGGACGTAAAAATGAAGTTCTTCTTATGCTCTCTTTTCTACAATTACTAAGAAATGTATGTGGCAGGTGGTCCCCCTGGAGATAAGTGTAAATAAGTTCAATTTGGTGGCTTTTGTTGTTTCTGTGCTTCAGGGTTGGGGTGGAGAATAGGCAGAGGAGAATCTTAATTAAGGAGAGACTGCAAAATCACAGTTTTTGTTTCTGTATCATTTTTGCCCAGCATACCAATTTCTGTGTTCTTGCCGTGGGGCATGCAGCAGTACGTGGCATAAGAGATTCCCCCTCTCCCCCAAAACCTGTTGGATGGTGGTGTGCTCTTTCGAGTAGACACTAGTCTGGCAAAACAGACTAAACAGAAGAGTCCTAATACAATTTTAAGTCCGTGAAGATTAAATGTTTCTGTGTATACCTTTGTGATGGCATTTGTACAGAGATAATTAACACTTGAAAGTACTTTGGGTTTCCTTCTGACCTGGTGGCTCGTTCTGTTTTGTTTTTACTTTAGACTGTGCTGGGCAGTATTAACTGGGCCTTTCTGGGAGTGGATGAAGCCCATCGGTTGAAGAATGATGACTCTTTATTGTATAAAACTCTGATTGATTTCAAGTCCCACCATAGGCTCCTGATTACGGGGACCCCTCTGCAGAATTCCCTCAAAGAGCTCTGGTCCTTGCTGCACTTTATTATGCCGGAGAAGTAAGCTCCTTCCTGTGTGTTTTGAAAGATGCTAGAATGTCTGAAATGCCAATGCTTTTTAACTTTTTAAAAATAGACCTTAGGGAAAACAGATGGCATGATTTGGGAACAGCAAAACATTAAACTGCTGCAGGAATAAAATTAGTAAAACGTTCCATAATAAATGTTAGGAGGCACAGAATTCAGCATGTCAAGGAGGAAAGCCTATTATCTACAAGACATTTGAATCTGTTAATGCTTTGGGGAAATAATTGGTAAACAGGAAATGTTAGACCTTCTCACTGTTGTTATAAGGTAATCGAGAATTGAAATGAAGTATACAAGGTACTCAGTCTGACAGGTGTTAATATCTTAAACCCAAACCTGTGATAACAAGAAGCAGTCAGCATTAGCTATTACTCAGATCTGTAATTTACTAAAGAATCGTAGAGGTCTTTATTGAAAAGATTTTTATAGGGGAGATGCTATACACGTTTCATAAAACTTAGTTATCCAGCAGTATTCAGTGATGCTTGAAATGAAACCTAAATTTGTTGCCCTACCTTGGGAGGCCCTACCCAGTGTGGCACCTTGATGGTACTCTTGATTCCTCCCATCCCATCCCAGAATGGCCAGCTGTTCTGCCAGCTTTCCGTACCTTTAACCTGCCAAGCCACTGACACTCTTTATCTGGGATGGTCTTTCTCCTCATCTTCACATGTCCAGGAACATTTTTGCCTGAGCCTTTATGACCACCTCCTTTCAGATTCTTCTCAGACCACCTAACCTACAAAAGCCTGTCAGACATGCTTATCACCCTACCCTGTTTTTTTTTCTATGTGGTACCTCACTGCTTTCCTTTCTTACTCATTCATCTCATGTCATTAAATTTATGCATTCAGAAGTACCAAGGATCATGTTTACTTTATTCCTCAATGGTCCACATTGGCTGGAGTAGTATCTGGCATGCAGTAACTAGTCAGGAGTTGTCAAGTTGACAGGGAAATGCTCCACAATTTTTTTTTTTTTTTTTATAACTCAAAATATTTGAGTGCCTGCTATGTGCCATAAACTAAGCAAGGCATTTTGGATAGCATAATGAAAAACATGAGTGGTCTCTTCCCCCATGTGTTGTTAACTTTTTTGTCAACACTGTTGAGATGTAATTTACATATCATAAAATACATGATTGTAAGTATACAATTTGGTTTTTTTAGTAACTTTGTGGATTGGTGCAACCATCACCATACCATAATCTAGTTCTAGAATAGTTTCTTCACCCAGAAAGTTCCCTCTTGTCTGTAGTTAAATCTGCTTTTGTTTCTATTCTGAGGCAGTCACTAATCAGCTTTCATCTCTAGATTTAACTTTTTTAGAAATGTCATATAAATGGAATCCTAATAAGTAATCTTTTGTTTTTGGCTTGTTTCATTTAGCATAATATTTTTGAGATGCACCTGTGTCATAGAGATTTATTTATTCTCTTAAAGTGGAGTAATCCTCCATTACATGTATCACCAGTTGATGGACATTTGAGTTGCTTCAGTTTTGGGCTATTGTGTCTATCTGTGGACGTTTGTTTTTATTTATTTATTATTTTATTTATTTGTTTTTATTTATCTTGGTTGGATACTTAGTGAAATTGCTGGGTTGTTTGGAAAGTAGGTATTTACTTTCCATCTGCCATTCCTACCAGTTCTCTATACCAACACCAATACGTGGTATGTCATCAGTCTAGTCATTCTGGTGGGAGCGTAGTGGTATCTCAGTGTGGATTTTACTTGCATTTCTTTAATGACTAAAAATGTTGAACATCTTTTCATGTGTTCATTAGCCCTTTGTGGATCTTTGGTGAAATGTCTGCTTAAATCTCTTGCCCAAGTTTTTATTCAGTTTCACCTATTTTCTAATTTCTTTTGTGTTTTTTTTTCTTTGTTGCATGGTTTTTGTTTGTTTTTTAAAGTGTGTTGGTTAATCTGAAATATTTAGGTTTTCCTAGATAACTCGTAATTCAATTTTGTCTTAAAGAACATGTTTTAAATGAATTCACTGTTATTTATTTATGGTTTAGCGTGTTGGGGTGCCTGGGTGGCTCAGTTGGTTGAGCGTCTGACTTCGGCTCAGGTCATGATCTCACAGTGCGTGGGTTCGAGCTCGTGTCGGGCTCTGTGTTGGCAGCTTGGAGCCTGGAGCCTGCTTCGGATACTGTGTCTCCCTCTCTCTCTACCCCTCCCCCACTCATGCTCTGTCTCTGTAAAAAATGAATAAATCTTAAAAAAAAATTTTTTTTTATATGGTTTAGTATGTTTTCTGTTTTGGAGAATGTTCTTTGTGTACTTGAATAATACTCTGCTTTCATAAGGTGGAGTTCTGTAAATGTCCATTAAGTCAACTTAGTTAATAAATAGTCTTATTCAAGTCTTACATACCTTTCCTGACATCATGGCTAGTTTTGTTATTGACAGTGAAATATTTTAATATTTAACTGTAGTTGTTGAGTGATCTGCTACTTTCAGTTCTGTTACTTTTTCCTTTGTGTATGTTGAGGGGTTCAGGTGTTAGGTATGTGCACGCCTGTAATTGTTCTTTGTTCCTGATGTGTTGATCTTTTTATCATGAAATGCCCCTCTTTATCTTTAGTAATATTTCCTGTTCCTTAAGTCTATTTTGTGTGATGTGACAGCTCTTTAGCTGTCTTTTGGTAACTGTTTGCATGTTATGCTGTTTCTGTCCTTTTACTTCAATTGCTGTTTATGAGTTTTAAAATGTGTCTCTTGTAGACAACATGTAGTTGGATCTTCCCTTTTTAATTGAGTCTCTGCCTTTTGAAGAGTTTAATTCATTCACATTTAATGCAATTGTTGATATGGTTGGATTTATATCTACGATTTTACTTTTCTCCCCAATATGTCTTACTCTTTTCTATTTCTCCTTTACTGCCTTTTTTGTCTCAACAAGTATTTTATAGTGTGCCACTTTAACTCTTCTGTTAACTGATTTTTTAAAAAAGTTATTTCCTTACTGGTTGTTAGGGTTTTTAGTATGCATCTCATCCCAGTCTTCTTTAGATTAATACTAATTTAATTCTGGTAAAATATAACAACTGTTCTCCAGGATGGCTTCGTTTTTACTTCCTTACTTGTGTTGTAAACCCAAGAAGACAGTGGTAAAATTATTGCTTTATCCAGGCTTGTCTTTTAAAGTAATAAGAGAAAAACATATAGTCTTTCATATTTACACATTTATATTATCATTTCCAGTTATATTTATTTCTCCCCGTGGAGATTGTCACTGGGTTAAAATCACTTCTTTTTAGCTTACAGGACTTCTTTAGTATTTCTTGTCAGGCAGGCCTACTAGCAACAAATTCTCTATTTTCATTTGTTGGTGGCTGTCCTTTTTTGACTTTTATTTTTCAAGGATAGTTTAAGACTCTTCAGAAGATGAGTAGAGAAGCTTGACCACTCTAACCATGCTGCCCTGACTATTGCGTTAGCAGATTAGGCTGAAACTATTTCCCTTTTCTTCAGGCACCCTCACTACGGTGTGCTTCTGGGAGTGGAGCTCCCTCGGCACCCCTCCTTTCTCTGCTTTCTCTCAGAACAGAGTTTCTGAGTCTCAGCACTATTAGCATTCTGGGCTGGATAATTCCTTTTTGCTGGGGGCTGTCCTTTGCATTATAGGTTGTTGAGCAGCATCCCTTGCCACTACCCCACCACATGTCAGTAGCTGCCTTCTTTCTCAGTGGTAACAACCAAAAATGTCTCCAGACATTCCCAGTGTCCCCCAGGGATTGGGGGACATTGGGCATCACCACCAGTCGAGAAACACTATGTTAGAGGTTCTTTTCCTGTCACACTGCACCCTGCCTATCCCATCTCCTTGTTGTCCTCTTGCCTGTCCTGTTTCTTCTCACCTGGGTCCTCTGTCCCTTCCACAGAGCTCTGTGAGTCGATAGTGGCCTGAGGATGGAGGCAGTTGCCCTCTTCTCGTCTTGAACAGTCTGTTGTACCTTCTGTAATGAGTACCCTGTTCATCACGTATTAGCAGAAGGCCGAGTTTTTATAAAGCATGCTTTTCAAAGGTACAAGTGCCGTAAAACATAGCATAGAAAAGTTTAGAAATAGTCAAATTGTCAATTATTTATTATTAACCTTTGTTTTCTGAAATAGAGTGTTTTCCTGTGTATTACTTTATCGTTTTCATATTGGGTCTTTTTGATACACTGGAAGTGTTTGCTTCAGAATGCTGACTTAGATGATGAAAATGTGTCCCTTATCATTCAATAAGTTGGATGGACTGAGGTCAGTTTCAGGTCTTCTATTACTAAGGTCAATATCCTTTGGTCTTCAAATTCTAAGAGAAGAAGTACATCCTTCATAGCACCACTGAGATGAGATGAGATCATTCTACGTAGCAGGAGTCTTGAGGCACCATGCAGCATCTGTGCTTGTCCCCTGAAAAAAGAATGTGGTGCATAGTTTCCACCCAATGAATGGTTAGCTAGATTTGCCCTTTTGTACTTGACTACTGGAGTGGATGGTAGGGATTTTGGCTCCTAATTGGTCATAATTACTTTTTTGCTATTTAGCAACTGTGGCGTTCCTAGTAGACATGATTATTGATAGTTCATCCAAAGTGTTCTTTGTGGCCAGTTGAATTACTTTTGGAATGATGGATTGGAGTTAGAGATGTAGTTTTGTGTGTGTGTAAGAAAACTTTTTCTCTTCGAAAGCTTTGTTTTTAAAGCATTGTTTTCGGGGCGCCTGGGTGGCTCCGTTGGGTAAGCATCTGACTTTGGCCCAGGTCATGATCTCACGGTCTCTGAGTTTGAGCCCTGTGTCAACACTTCTGTGTTGACAGAGCCTGGGGCCTGCTTCAAATTCTGTCTCTTCCTCTCTCTCTGCCCCTTCCCTGCTCGTGCTTTGTCTCTCTCTCTCTCTCTCTCTCAAAAATAATGAATAAACATTAAAAAAAATTTTGTAAAACATTGTTTTCAAACATTTTTATTTTTTATTTTTTTTACGTGTTTTTTTTTGAGAGGGAGAGAGAGAGTGCAAGCGTGGGATGGGGGAGGGACAGGCAGAGGGAGTGGACAGAGGATCTAAAACAAGCTCTGTGCTGACAGCAGCAAGCCTGATGCGGGACTCGAACTCATAAACCATGAGATCATGACCAGAACTGAAGTCAGGACGGTCAACTGACTGAGCCACCCAGGTGCTCCTCAAACATTTTTTAAAAGATTGTTTTTCCACAAAGATTCATGCAACTCCATTTTTTAAGGAATTAAGATTTACCTTTGTTTCTGCCTGAGCTTGGTATGCAGAGGACTAAAATCCAGTATTTTCCTCATCCTTAGCTGTAGTTCCTTAGATTCCAGATGGTGCTACAGAACCACTTGGTCCTGTTAAAGAAATGATCCACTGAAGAAAAATTATTGTACAGAGCGGAATTAAATTTGGTCAGATAACTTTTTTTTTTTTTAATGTTTATTTAGTTTTTCAGAGAGACAGAGAGACAGAGCACGAACAGGGGAGGGGCAGAGAGAGAGGGAGACACAGAATCTGAAGCAGGCTCTAGGCTCTCAGCTGTCAGCACAGAGCCCAACACGGGGTTTGAACTCACGGACCTATGAGATCATGACCTGAGCCGAAGTCAGACACTTAACTGACTGAGCCACCCAGGTGCCCCTGAGCCACCCAGGTGCCCCTGGTCAGATAACTTTTGTACCTTCATCTCCTCAACTGTTACAGGCTATTACTGTGTTAAATTTTTTAAATTAATTAATTTTTAAATTTACATCCAATTTAGCATATAGTGCAACGGTTTCAGGAGTAGATTCTAGTGATTAATCCCCTGTGTATAACACCCACTGCTCATCCGAACAAGTGTCTTCCTTAATGCCCCTTTCCCGTTTAGCCTATCCCTCCTCCCACTACCCCTCCAGCAACCATTTGTTCTCTATATTTGAGAGTCTCTTATATTGTCCCCCTCCTTGTTTTTATATTATTTTTGCTTCCCTTCCCTTATGTTCATCTGTTTTGTATCCTAAATTCCTCATATGAGTGAAGTCATATGATACTTGTCTTTCTTTGACTAATTTTGCTTAGCATAATACCCTCTAGTTCGATCCATGTAGTTGCAAATGGCAAGATTTCATTCTTTTTGATTGCTGAGTAATATTCCATTGTGTGTGTGTATGTCACATCTTCTTTATTCATTCATCCGTTGATGGTTATTTGCGCTCTTTCCATACTTTGTCTATTGTTGATTGTGCTGCTGTAAACATTGGGGTGCAGGTACCCCTTTGAAACAACACACCTATATCCCTTGGATAAATACCTAGTAGTGCAATTGCTGGATCGTAGGGTAGTTCAATTTTTAGTTTTTTGAGGAACCTCCATACTGTTTTCCAGTGGCTGCACCAGTTTGCATTCCCACCAGCAGTGCAAAAGGTTTCTTCTTTCTCCGCATCCTCGCCAACATCTGCTGTTTCTTGAGTTGTTAATTTTAGCTATTGTGATAGGTGTGAGGTGGTATCTCATTGTGGTTTTAATTTGTATTTCCCTGATGATGAGTGGTGTTGAGCATCTTTTCATGTGTCTGTTAGCCATCTGGATGTCTTCTTTTTTTTTTTTTTAACGTTTATTCATTTTTGAGACATGGAGAGAGACAGAGCATGAGTGGAGGAGGGGCAAAGAGAGAGGGAAGAGCCCGACGCGAGGCTCGAACCCATGAACTGGAAGATTATGACCTGAGCTGAAGTCAGATACTTAATCGACTGAGCCATCCAGGCGCCCCTGGGTGTCTTCTTTAGAGAAGTGTCCATTCATGTCTTTTGCCCATTTCTTCACTGGAGTATTTGATTTTTGGGTGTTGAGTTTGATAAGTTCTTTATAGATTTTGGGTACTAACCCTTTATCTGATATATTATTTGCAAATGTCTTCTCCCATTCCGTCGGTTGCCTTTTAGTTTTGCTGATTGTTTCCTTCGCTGGTCTATTACTGTTTTTTAAATCCAGAAGTTAGTTCTTTTTTTAACCAACTGTAATCTGTTTTCTTAGCACATGGTCTGTCCAGTCAGTTTTCCTGCATGGTGGCTCTGACCAGACTACTACCCTTTTTAGCAATTTGATCACTACCCTTATTAAAATATGTACCAGTCATTTACTTTGTAAATACTGTTCTGCAAAGCATGGTGCTTGGTATTAAAAATACAAAAAGATAAAGCAAGCCCCAAGAATTGAGTGTATAATCACTTGCAAAATGTACTGTATACCCACTCCACAAAATAACTCAGTAGAGCAGATTTCATAGATGTAACCTCTTGGTATAAGATTTGTTTTTTGTTTTGTTTTTGCTTCTGCTTCTGCCTCTGCTGTCTAGGCCAGTCTGAATTTGTTTGCATATTTATCACATGAATTCTAGCATACTGTTTTCATTCTTTTAATTTTCTTCTTTGTTATTCCTCAGTAGAGTGAACTTCTATTTTTCTAAAATCCCAAAGTCTGGAATATTTAAGCAATCCAAATTGTTCCTACTTTCGTGAGAGACATATGTTATGTACACAAGTTGATAATAGGGATATATCTAAAATAACCTCTAGGCTGTAGCATGGTGTTATTGTTAAGTTACTTACTGCTATAACCCTATACCTTTTATGTATGTGGTATTTTAAGTTGACAGTATTCTGCTTTAGAGAACAGCAAACTTTTTCTTAAAGGGACCTGATAAGAAACATTTCCAGCTTGTAGGCATTATGGTCTGTTACAGCTGCTCGTCTCTGCTGTTTAGAGGGAAAGCAGCCATAGGCCATTCATAAACCATTCAGTGTATACATAAAGGGATTCTTATGCTTTTTAGTAAGAAAACACTAAGTAGGTGAAAATATTTGTTGTCTAGCACAGTAGGGGAAGTAACTTATAAATAAGGTTTATATTTAAGTTTTTAGACTAATACAGTTTTAATTAACGATAATGAATGTTAAGTAAATTGAAATGTTCTCTTAAATTTGTCTCCCAGCTCTTCAGAAAATGGCTTGATATAGTGATAGTTCCTGATGTCCAGTTGCTTCATACATTTTGTGTGTGACGTGCCATCCCTAGCATTGAGATAGTTCAGTTGGCCTTGTCATTTTAGTCTTCTTCCTGGTTTTAATTCCTCATTTATTTTTGTTCCTGGAGTATTTTCATAGAAGTGTGACAAAATACAACTTAGGTTTATCAGGCTGTAAGCTCTAGTGATGTGTTTAGATTTCTACCCCAAAAGATCTTTTTGCCTGAACTTCCTGAAGATGGCTGTTTTGTTCATTCCTAGGTGTTACTGAGGCAGGTGTTGACCCACCTCGCAGTGCATGGTGAAATGCGTGGCTGTTTATCAGTTCAGAAATGGCAGCAGGCTCTCTTGATGCCGGTGCACACTAGCGGTGCTGGCATTTTCTCTCTGACTTTCCATTTTACCAGAGAGTAGTTGCTTTGGAGTCTTACAGAGCTCTAGGAAATGTTGAGCTATTTATTCCGGGACGTGACTGGCCTCAACAGAGGAGGGCTGCCTGGTATCAGAGGGCAGACCATGCAGCAGCGATTAACTGAGATTCCAGTGCTAGGCTTGGTTGATGGCATGCTCTCCCCTACTGAGCTTTAGTTTGCACACAGAACCCCGCTGGCTCCTCCAAGGGCATCATTGGCTTTCTAGTGGCAAAACCGTGTACTTCTTTCAATCCTCATGAAATGAATTTCCTTCATTTTTGGGGTTTGTTTTTGAAAGAAATCTGTTCACCGTGTCTTATTCTGGACTTCTGCCACAGGCCCGTTAGTAATCAAAGATGATTGAATTAAGATTGAAATGCAAGGGGGCACATGGGTGGCTCAGTCAGTTGAGCGTCCGACTTTGGCTCAGGTCACGATCTCACGGTTCATGGGTTCGAGCCCTGCATCACGCTCTGTGTTGACAGCTCAGAGCCTGGAGCCTGCTTCAGCTTCTGTGTCTCCCTCTCTCTCTCTCTGCCCCTCCCCTGTTCATGCTCTGTCTCTCAAAAATAAATGGACATTGAAAAAAAGTTAAAAGACGTTGAAATGCAAGGAACTTTCCTCTATAGAGTTGAGGCAGAATTATTATGGTGACAAGTTTTTTAATTCATTAAAAATTTTTTTTAACATTTATTTTTGAGAGATAGAGTGGGAGAGGGGCAGAGAGAGAGGGGGGGACAGAGGACCCAAAGCAGACTCTGAGCTGAGAACAGACAGCCCGATGTGGGACTCAAACTCACAAACTGCAAGATCATGACCAGAGCCAAAGTTGGGCATGTAACTGACTGAGCCACCCAGACACCCCTAAGTTTTAGAATTTATTGTTAATAAAATTTGTGTCTTCAAGTTCTAATACTATTAAATTGGTGTCACTTGTGTTACTGTTCTTATTGGGGGCTGTAGTTTGGTTACTGTCATCATAAGTCCACTAATTTTTTAATCTATGAACAGTGAAGATTATTGATGGAAATTATGTAACCGACTTTACCTTTGAGTGGTGACAGCTGTAATATTGCCACTAATTCTCTTACCTTTGAATTTGTTTCCTAAGAAATTGCAGCTTATTAAAAGATAGCTTATTAGTTTTTCTGAAGAACATTTCATAACAATAACTTATGTATACTTACTCATTGCATGTTATACAGAAGTGTCCTGTGAACTCTAGATCCAGTCTAAGAATTGGAAACCCAGTGTTATCCAGTGTAGACTCATTGGATTGATTCAGTGGGTTTTCTCCGTAGACTCATTGGATTGGTTCAGTGGTTTTCTCTTTCCTTACTGTTTTCCCCTCTCTCGTATTCCTGAGCTAGTGACTGATAAAATTTGTCTTTCTTTATAGGGAAGAGTCTTATTTTGTTTGTTGTTTGTTTGCAGATTATTTTTTCCATTTAGTTAATTGAAATTTTAGCTTGAAAAAATGCTTCTTTTTCTTCTCGGTTGCTTCTGTAATGAACACTGTCCTGTTTTATTTCCAGGTTTGAATTCTGGGAAGATTTTGAAGAGGACCATGGGAAAGGAAGGGAAAACGGGTATCAGAGTCTCCATAAGGTGTTGGAACCCTTCCTTCTCCGTAGGGTCAAAAAGGATGTAGAAAAATCCCTTCCTGCCAAAGTGGAACAGATCCTCAGGGTGGAGATGTCTGCTCTGCAGAAGCAGTATTACAAGTAAGCTATGGGCCGGGTCAAGCCTCAGTGGGATTAACATCAGTACAGAGAAGCCATAAGATAGACAGTTGACAGACTGCTTTTTTCAGTGATGCCTCAACACAGATTTAAGAAGCAGTATACTCATGGTTAGAAAGAGGAAGTTTTATTCTTGCTTTTTTCTTTGGGTGAGAATTTGCATAGCACTTTTTATTATGTGGGTAGTCCGAAGTATATGTTAAATTTTAATGCTAATCCCCTTCCAATAAACAGGTATATTTTGCTCAGTCATGTATTTCTTCTCTGCTACTCAATTCAGTCAGTCTACAAAGTGGCAGGCATTGTGCTAAATACTGGGAGTACGAAGATGGGTGGAACATGTTCCTGCTAGAAGTGTTGCTCAGTAAGCAAGACAGAGTAGAGACAAGTGGCTAAAACAGGTTTGTTTACTAACTGAGGCAGATGCAGGGGGATGTGCAGGTTTAGAAGGAAAGTGCTCCCCTCTGTGCTGATGGGGAAGATGCTCTCCTTTCTGGCACCCCAAGTGGCTTGGCCAGGTTATGGACTTGGTTTAGGTTATGATGAGTTTAAGGCAAAATGCTGGATTTGGGACAGGGGGTGGTATATAATATGCTCGTCATGGGCTTTAGTTTTGATTATTTCAAGTTAAATCTGGAGTAATTATAACTACATACCGTGAAAATTATAGTCTAAGGTTAAAAGTTTGGTAATCTCTCTAATATGCCTTGCTTTTTTTTTTTTTTTTAATTAAAAACTTAAAAAATTTTTTTTATTTTTTTTAATTTATTTAAAAAATTTTTTAATGTTTATTTATTTTTGAGACAGAGAGCGCGTGCATGAGCAGGGGAGGGGCAGAGAGGGGAGACACAGAATCTGAAGCAGTCTCCAGGCTTTGAGCTGTCAGCACAGAGCCCAACGTGGGGCTTGAACCCATGAAACGTGAGATCATAACCTGAGCCAAAGTCGGATGCTTAACCGACTGAGCCACCCAGGTGCCCCAAAAATATTTGTATTTTTGACAGAGAGAGGTGTGTGTGTGTGTGGTGGGGGCGGGTAACAGAACCTGAAGCAGGCTCCAGGCTCTGAGCTATTAGCACAGAGCCTGACGTGGAGCTCAAACTCATAGACCATGAGATCATGTCCTGAGCCAAAGTTGGACACTTAACTGACCGAGGCACCCAGTCCCTGCTTGTTTTTAATGAAACCAAAAAAAACCACAGGATTTTAGTGGTCAAAAATTACTATCTGACCCTTTTGCCTAATACTACCTTGACTTTTAAAAATCTTTTTATTCTGGGAAATCTCTGCTATGTACAGAAATAGAATAGGAGGTAGTCATGTACCCAGAGTCAACCCAGTTTCAGTTACCCACTCATAGCCAGCCTCAGTTCACCTGTATCTTCATTTGCACCCCCATTTCTATCCCTAGATTGTTTGAAACATGGTTCAGGTACTTATCAAATGTTTCTGTAGGTACCTAAAAGATAAGGACTAAAGTGAGACAAAACAACAGCAACAACAAAACCAAACTTACAGATACAGAGAACAGAACAGTGGTTGCCAGGGGAGGGGGTGAGATGGGGGGTGAGAGGAATGGGTGAAGGGGGGGGTCAAAACATATAAACTTCTGGTTATAAAATAAGTAAGTCATGAGGATGGAACATGCAGCATGGCAGTTATGATTAATAATACCATATTGTATATTTGAAACTTAAGAGAATAGATCCTAAAAGTCCCCACCACCGAGGAAAAAGGTTTTTGTAACTGTGTAGGGTGATAGATGTTAGACTTACCGTGGTGATCATTTTGCAGTATATACAAGTATCAAATCATGTTGTACACCTGAAGCTAATGCAGTGTTACATGTCAATCATACCTCAATAAAAATATAACTTCAATACTAGTATACTTAAAATATCAATAATTCCTTATTTTTATTTTTATTTTTATTTTTTAATTTTTTTTTTCAACGTTTATTTTATTTTGGGGACAGAGAGAAACAGAGCATGAACGGGGGAGGGGCAGAGAGAGAGGGAGACACAGAATCGGAAACAGGCTCCAGGCTCTGAGCCATCAGCCCAGAGCCTGACGCGGGGCTTGAACTCATGGACCGCGAGATCGTGACCTGGCTGAAGTCGGATGCTTAACCGACTGCGCCACCCAGGCGCCCCATTCCTTATTTTTATAATACTTAGTGTTTACATTTCCCTGGTTGTCATATACATAATGTACACAGGCACATACACACATGCACACAGATGGCTTGTTTGCATTGGGATCTTAGTAAGCTCCATACATTATGACTGGTTGTTATGTCTCTTTAGTTTATTTGAACCCGTTTACCCCATCCTTGTAAATTTTTTGAGAAGAAACTGAGTCTGTGTTCTCTAGATATTTTTCACAGCCTGGATTTTTCTGATTCTAGCTCCGTGGCATCATTTAATATTTTTATTTGATCCCTTCTCATTTCCGGATAAGTGTAGATGTTTGATTAGACTCAGATTCAATGAGTATTTCATAGAATGCAAAGGTACATTCTTTCATAGGAGATTGTCTTCTTGTGATATTAGCAAGTATTTGGTAAGCATTGCCTAGATCCATTACTTCATTAGGGATTAAAAGTGGTGCTATTCAAATTTTAGTACTCCTTTGTTTATTAGCTGGAACACTTCTACAAAAAGAAACTTCCCTGTTTCAACTGAGGAACAGTTCATATAGGAAAAACAGAATAAGTAAATGCATATTCTTTTTGATTTTTGATATTTAAAAAACACTAATTTTTTAAAAAGTTTTTTATTTTATTTTAGAGCACAAGTGGGGGAGGGTCAAAGGGGGGGGAGAGAGAGAGAGGGAGAGAGAGAGACCCCCAAGTAGGCACCACGCTCAGTGCAGAGCTGGACACCAGGCTTGATCCCATAATCCTGGGGATTTCAAGCTGAAATCAAGAGTTGGATGCTCAACCGACTGAGCCACCCAGGCACCCCAACAAAATATAATTTTTTAAATTGAAATATGTTTGGGGTGCCTGGGTGGCTCATTTGGTTAAATGTCCGAACTCTGCTCAGGTCATGATCTTGTGGTTTGTGAGTTCAAGCCCCATGTCAGGCTCTGTGCTGACAGCTCAGAGCCTAGAACCTGCTTCAGAGTCTGTGTCCCCCCCTCTCTCTGTCCCCCCTCTGCTCGCTCTCTGACTCTCTCTCTCAGAAATAAACATTAAAAAATAAGTAAATTGAAACATGTTTGACATATAAAGTACAAATAGAAGGTGTATAACATGTTACTTTGATATAGTTATATACTATAATATATTGTCATTGTAGTGTAGTTAGCACCCGTATCACATTACCTAATGATCCTTTCTTTTTAGTGGTTGGAGTCATTAAGTTCTAGTCTCGTAGTAGAGTGGCTGAATATATGATATTGTTGTCTGTATTCACTATGCCATGCATTAGATCTCTAGGGATCATTTACTACTCATTGCAGTTTGTACTTTTAAACAACATCTGTCCCATCCCCACATTTCCAGGTAACCAGTATTTTACTTTGTGTTTTTATGAGTTTGGCCTTTTTAGATTCCACATATAAGTGATACTATATAGTAGTTGTCTTTCTCTGTCTGACTTAGCACAGTGTGCTCGAGGTCCATTCATGTTGGATATTTGACATTTTTAAAAGAACCAATAGGGTATCTCCATGTCTTCAGAGGTTTTGACCAATGAGATTTGTTTTGGTATGATTATGAACTCCTCAATAAGCAAATTTATGCTTCATTCTGTGACAGGTATTGTTTTACACTCATGGTTAGAATGGCTCCATTTTTAGCTGGGAGGAGCTTATTCAAGTTGGTTCTGAGGCCTTTTGACATAATCCTCGCAGTAGTTGATAGCTTTTTGCTTTCTGAAATAAAAAAATGTTCATGTTCATCTTGTACATTTCCTGCCCCAGAACTAGAGTCAGCCATATATCCAGCATGCTCTGCATACTATTTTGTTGGAAAATGGAATTTGGAGACCACAAATTGGCTACTAGAGCTGTTATTTGTGGCTACATTGGACATCACTCACAGGCTTTTTCCGTGGACAGAATTAGAAAATTTGTTTTTAAACAGAAGAAAAATATATCATGATTTTTTTTTTTCACTTAAACAGGACAACATAGAGATTTTATTTGACCTTAATAGTCTTAATACCCCTACCAAAAATTTGACTTCTCAACTGCACCAACCTAATTCATACTACACACACAGCTTTACAATAATTATAATGCAAGGATTATTGTCAGCATTGTAAATAACAAAAACAGGTTAAGGGTTTTTTTTGTTTGTATTTTGTTTGTGTTCTACTGGAGGGGCACTTGGGTGGCTCAGTTGGTTGAGTGTCCCACTTTGGCTCAGGTCATGATCTCATGGTTCGTGAGTTCAGGTCCCACATCAGGCTCTGTGCTGACAGCTCAGAGCCTGGAGCCTGCTTCAGATTCTGTGTCTCCCTCTCTCTCTGCCCCTCCCCCACCCGTGCACGCTCGCTCGCTCTCTCAAAAATAAATAAAATTTAAAGGTATATTCTATTAGAAATGGATAAGAGTCTTAAAAGCACTTGAGATCCTTTGTCTTGTGGATATGCTCCTAACTAGATACAATATTTGATTTCATTTTAGTTTTACTTTTTAAAGATGACTTTGCTTAATTTTTCTTCATAACTATTTATAATATTTGTAGAGTTCCAAGGGCACAACTACAAAAGCTGGCATGTTCAAATATGTCTAGCTTCTATCCTTGTCCCCTTCATTCTAGGCCTTTCTTCCCTTAGGTGATACCAAGTAAAATTCTTAATGTTTTTCTTTCCTTTATTTTCTAATTTTTAAAATACAACCAAATACATTTTAACCATTTTGCTGTCTCCCTCCTCCTATATAAACAGCATACTGTATACATTTTTCTGTACCTTTTTTCACTCAATGATGTGTGCTGAAGAAGACTCCATAGTAGTTTATAAAGATACTCTCTTCTTTTTGCAACTGCATAATATTCCATTGTCAATTTGTAGCATAGTTTATTCAACCACCCCTCGTGGAGGATATTTGGATTGTTTCAAATATTTGACTCTTTTTTTCTTTTTTAATCTATTATTTTTGAGAGGGAGGGCAAGTGGGGGAAGGGGCAAAGGGAGAGGGAGGCAGAGAATATTAAGCAGGCTCCACGCTCAGTGCGAAGCCCCATATGGGGCTTGATCTCACAACCGTGAGGTCATGACTTGAGCTGAAATTAGCAGTCTGATGCCCAACTAACTGAGCCACCCAGACAACCCTCAAATACTTTACTCTTACAAACTGTACTACAGTGAAAATCCTTGAACACTCTACTTTGAGATAGATTTCTAAAAGTAGGATTGTTAAAAGTGTAAAGAGGTTTCATTACTCAGAAAAAAAGCACTTTTAATGTTTTATAGTGTATAGTTAAAGCTTATATATGGATATACATAAATACCTATATATTTCTCCTTTTCTCTTTTAAAATTTAGATATAAAAGATAGTTACCATGAGCATTTTGTCATATAAAATGTCCTTCTACAACAGTTTGTAAATGGGTACATAGCTTCTGTCTCTTGGTAATCTTTATTTAACTAGTCTCCTGCTACTAGGCAACTTATTTCCATTTTTATGTTGTGATAAAGAGTGCTTCGGTGACAGTCCTTGTTTCACATGTGTGTGTATATGTACATATATTTCACTGTTATTTCTTGTTAATATTCCTGTGTTCAGTCAGGTTGAAATGCCCAGTAGAACATGTTTACCCAGTGGTTAACACTCTGAACCAGACTCAAGCTGTGAGCGGTCCTGGTTGGGCAGCAGGAGATGGAAAGTGAAATATCCCTCCATAGTTTTTAACGGTCCTAGGCCTTTTTGGTCTTTATCTTTCCAGTAACTTTGCTCTCTCTTATAATCTGATGCCTCCGATTCTCTCTTTGAATTGAAGGTCATTATTTTAATTTGCAGATGGATTCTGACCAGGAATTACAAGGCTCTTGCCAAGGGAACACGAGGCAGCACGTCTGGTTTCCTGAACATTGTGATGGAATTGAAAAAATGCTGCAACCATTGCTACCTGATCAAACCCCCAGAAGACAGCGAGCGAGAGAATGGGCAGGAGGTTCTTCTGGTGCGTGGCCACCTTGTTTGTAATGAAGTCCTCAAGCACTTCAGTGTCTATAGATGCTTTTTATCAAAGTCTTTTCTTTCCTCCTTTGATGACTCTTCATGGAGCATCAAAAGAAGCTTTAAAAACAGATGAGGAAAGTTAAATAGGAGAAGTATGGAAAGTATAATGTCGCAGATAAACCAGGTGAAGAGCATTTCAGGAATTACTTGTCAGCCAGACTATATGGGGTTTCAGCCTAAAGATGGGTTTAAAATTTATTTTGAGAGAGACAGAGAGCGAAACTTGTGTGAGAGGGGCAGGGCAGAGAGACAGGGAGGCAGAGAGGCAGAGAGGATGGAAAGCCGGCTCCACACTGTCAGTGCGGAGCCCAGCTCGGAGCTCAATCCCACGAACAGTGAGATCATGTCCTGAGCCGAAATCAAGAGTTGGACACTAAACTGATTGAGCCACCCAGGTGCCCCTAAAGATGATTTTAAAAATAGGAACTCTTCAGGGCACCTGGGTGGCTCAGTTGGTTAAGTATCTGACTTCGGCTCAGGTAATGAGCTAATGGTTCATGGGTTCGTGTCCCACATCGGGCTCTGTGCTGACAGCTCAGAGCCTGGAGCCTGCTTCAGATTCTGTGTCTCCCTCTCTGTTTGCCCTTCCCTTGCTTGTTCTCTGTCTCTGTCTCTGAAAAATAAATAAACGTTAACAAAAATTAAAAATAAAGGAACTCTTTGTGATTAGGGGCAAATTTGAAGTATGGGTTGGTGTGTGATGATTGGAATGTCTTGTTAATCTCCAGTCCCTGATCAGGAGCAGTGGGAAGCTGATTCTATTAGATAAACTGTTGACAAGACTTCGAGAAAGGGGGAATAGAGTCCTTATCTTCTCCCAGATGGTCCGAATGTTGGACATCCTGGCTGAGTACCTGACTATCAAGCACTATCCTTTCCAGGTAAGGACCCTCAGGAATTGGAGTCCCTGCCTGCCTCTCTCCGGCTTATGTGCTTTGCTTGTTAAATTATCCTAAAGTTAGGAAACAAGTTTCCTAGCTGGAAACAAATTGAAATTAAGGTTCCAGGAGGGTCTTTATGTTTATTTCCATACCTTTAAGCTACCCTGTAATGAAAATGGTCATGTGAGGTCATTCTGTTTTGGGGGCGGGCCGGGGGGGCAGTAAAGAGGTGAGTAATAGAGGAAAAGCAGGCAAGAGAAATGTGTCAGATGGTTTCCTATGGCCCCATGTCTGGGGTAATAGTGGAGAGGAAGGAGTGTGGACCTAATTACAGAAGTCAAGTTCCTAGGAAGAAAGAGAGAGGTGATAGTTCTGTGTGTTCATCCCAGAGGAAGCTGACCCTGGCTGTGAGGCTGGGACTCAGAGGATCAGCGCACGTGAAAAGTTTGCTGGGCCCTGAAGCAGGTGGCCCCTCTCTTCTCTGTGGGATTGTTACTGTGGAGTTTTGTTTTCACTCAGTTATCTCCTACAATGTAAGGAGAAAAACCAGATAAGAGGGAGAGGAGTTTCCTCAGCACAGTATTTTTTTGGGTATTAGACTGTGTGAAACTTCTCTCTGATACATTTATGGACGTGTGTGCTGTTTATCTTGACTTTTGGCATAACCTTTAAGTGCTTTGATGTTTAAGATTGTCTGGAAAATATTCTTTCTTTGACTTTGAGTGGATGGACTCTCCAACCAACCTATGTAATTAGTCTGGTATTGAAGAAACTTGGAGTTAGTGATTGTTTCTTAAGAAGGCCAAGCTTTAAACTCACTAACAGATTGTCTTTCAAAATGCCCTGAAAGGTGTTGTCATATCCATAATATCTTGTGTGGTCTTTCAGCAGCTGTCTTAGAATATGGTTTAATACTGTGGTTATTATTTAAGAAATCAGCATGCTGCATAAAGACAGTTATCTCTCAGTGTGTCTGACGAGCTTTCAGGTCAAGCTCATCATTTGATATCAAGTAGAACAAAAATTCATTTCTGTTCTCTGAAGGGAATGTTAGACTGCAGTCCACTTGGGTCTGGCATGTCTGCTGTTTTCTATTAATGGGAATTTTAAAGGAGAGCATTTAGGTTCTCTGATTTCAAATATAGGCTCTGAACCTGCCATTTAAACATATATTTGGGCTAAGGCTTTGAACAGAGTCGGTAAGTAAGAAAGGAGAAAGAGGGTTGCCAGGTGTGATCTGACGTGTGTTTCTGTGGCTCTGGGTCTGGTCAGCAGAGCTCTGAGCTGGGGAGGTGTAGGTCCTTCCATGGACTATGTCCCTGGCCACTCGCCCATCACTGGCCAGCTGACATCATCTTTTGGGTCAGTTTTGCCTTCTGTGAAATGAGATATTTTGTTCATCTCAAGTGGTGATTGTGAGGGGAAGACACGTGAATATGATTTTAAAGAGTAAGAAATGCTTTATGTGTACAGATGACAGGTGACAGTTCTCAAGTATTTTTTTGACATACGGTTTTCTATGGTGACATTAGGATCTAGAACTGACACATACTCTAATAAAAGAACTAGTTAATGCCAGAGGCTCTCTTGAATATGCGTTTTGGCTGCTTAAACATTTTGCTCTGATTTCAGAGTGTAATTTTTGGAAAAGCTGGGATATATGATCAACTTAATTTTAACACTTTTAATGTTATGGCAAAATGTTTCCAGACAAAATTTTTTGGTTTGTGTAGCCCTTAATAACTGTGCACCTTGTAGTCGCATTAGCTAAGAAGGACCATTTTCTGTATGAGCTAGTTATTAGGTGACCAGTGGTACAGTGTCCTGATCTCTTTAGTACCTATAGATGTAGAAGCAAACACAGCTTCTGAGCACAGCTTGAGTATTGCCATCTTTCTCCTTATAGGCCCCAGCAGCCATTCTGATCCTTGGATCAACCTAGATAGCCCTTTGAATCCAGAAGTTTCTGACCTTGAGTCTGTAACTGGAGAGCTTGGGCAAGTAGGATGTGCTGCTTAAGCACAGTCCCCTGACAGCATGTTGCCAGTGCATTCCGGTTATTTTTACTAAGTGGGTGTTGTTAGAATGATAAAGGTTGCAAGTCTGGTGTTTTGTTCAGAGTGTAGCTGATCTTCCTACCTTATGATTTTCTTGTGGTTTATTTTTACAGCGTCTGGATGGTTCCATCAAGGGAGAAATCCGAAAACAGGCCCTGGACCACTTCAATGCAGATGGGTCTGAGGTATACCATGCATGGCTTTGTTATCTGGGCAGCTTGGGCTCTGTGTCCAGGGGAAAGCCTTTCTGGCTTAATATATTTCATTTCAGAAACAGTTCGCTGTAAATTTCTCCTGCTTTGAGAATGGAATGAGAAATCACTAGTATAAAGATGCCTCTTAATTTTGTTTATTATTCCAGAAAAGCATATGCATGCTTGTTTATCTCCCCTGGTCCGGATTACTGACAGAGTAGTTCTAATATCAATTGAGTGTTCTCTAGTCACTTCCAGATAGCAAAATTTTGGGCCTGGGAGAGCAGCAAGGCAAGGGTTGGGGACGGCTGGCCTGTAGGATTAATTTTACATGTGTGTTACATCAGAAGGTTCTGATATGTAACTTTTTTGGTGACTGAGGCTTGAAAAATACATTTGCCAGGTCTCATATTTGTTGGATTGCTGGTACGAGATGGCTTAAATTGTGTTGTCCACCTTAGATTTGCATTCTTAAGTATTTTGGTTTTAAGGCACATATAGAAGGGGTGCTTAGGAAAAGTTAGAAACCATAGTAATATTGTGGTTTGTGCACATCAAACTGTTAGATGCTGTGGGATTTTTTTTTTTTTTCAACGTTTATTTATTTTTGGGACAGAGAGAGACAGAGCATGAATGGGGGAGGGGCAGAGAGGGAGGGAGACACAGAATCAGAAACAGGCTCCAGGCTCTGAGCCATCAGCCCAGAGCCTGACGCGGGGCTCGAACTCATGGACCGCGAGATCGTGACCTGGCTGAAGTCGGACGCTTAACCGACTGCGCCACCCAGGCGCCCCTAGATGCTGTGGGATTTGAGAGAAGCTGGGGAGAAGAGGTTTAGTGAAGAAGACACTGTAGCCCCGTGTGCGGGTGAAGGCATCAGCAGAGACAGCCAGAAGTAGAACTAGAGTTTCAGAGAGAACATGAGCGCTTCTGAAGCCTGGGCCACTACTTTGTGTAGGTAGAATGGACTGAACATTCTGCTTTCTTTTGATTTTTTTCAAGTCAGGTTTCTTAAATTGAAGTGTCATGCATATAAAAAAGTACACACATTTTGGGGTGCCTCGATTGTTAAGCATCTGACTTGAGCTCGGGTCACGATCTCATGGTTCTTGAGTTTGAACCTGCAGTGGGCTCCGTGCTATCAGTGCACTCTCGCTCTCTCAAAAATAAAAGTACGCACATTTTAAGTATAGAGTTTGATGAATGTTTACAAAGTGAAAACACCCACATAACTATCACCAAGAACAAAAAAACGAAACATAATGTTTAAAGTTATAAAGAGAGTTCTCTTACGTCTTTTTTTTTTTTCCATTTAAATTTTAGTTAAGAATGTTCTGCTTTCTAAAGGGCTAAATGCTAAATTCTTAGTGTTTATGTCTCTTTCTCCAAAATGGTATGTCTTCTGCCTCTAGAACTGTACATCGTAGTCCTAGTTAGACAAAAAGTATTTTGGCTTCTTTAGCCTAAAATGTTAGTGGATTAAATGCAGTAATCCACACACAGCAATCACTAGGCTCCTTGCCTGACACATAACTAGTACTCAGTAAATGCTAGCTATTTTTATTATTTAGTATTTATTGAAATTGGTTTTGTGTTCCCTACTCTTAGTTTAAAAAATAATATGAGGGGTGCCTGTGTGGCTCAGTTGGTTAAGCATCTGACTCTTGATTTCGGCTCAGGTCGTGATCTCATTGTTCATGAGATGGACACGGGCTGTGTGCTTACAGCGCGGTGCCTGCTTGGGATTCTCTCTCCCTCTCTCTCTGCCCCTCCCCTGCTTGCACATTCTCAAAATAAATAAATAAACATTAAAAATATTTTGAATGTTTCATATTACCCTTTTCTCTCAGAGAAAAGCTAAAGTTGCCGCTTTTTTTTTTTTTTTTTTTTAAATCTCAATTCTTTACCCCATGGCTGTATATAAGATACAGGTTTTCTACCATTTTTTGTTTTTTTGTTTTTGCACATCTGAGCCTTTTTTATTAAGAAAAAATAAATACTTTAACATTGGGGGGAAATATGCGATGCACATTTAGAAATTTAGGAGATGGTGAAGAGTACGAAGAAGAAAAATAGTACAAAACCCCCATTCCCGAGATAACTGGCTGCTCACATCATTGGGGTGTGTTTCCATTCATAATGGATGTAACTGTTTATTTCTCTGTATGTTTACCTAATTGGATCCTTTTGCATATAGTTGTCACTTTTCATTTAAAATTCTGTGAGCATTTTCCCATGTCATTAAAGATTAAAAACATTAATTTCTAATATTTTCTCATGCTCGTGCCTTTATTTAACCTAATGATTAAACCTGATCACACACTTTGTTGTCTTTGGATGTGTAGTCAAGAGCGTATGAGCATTTAAAAAAGGTTTTTGGTATACTTTGCTACATTTCCCAAAACTGTTCATATTCATACTCCTTGTGCATGAGTATTTCCATTTTTATGTCACCCTTAGCAGCATTGAATTTCGTTGAGTTTCTCTCTTCAGTGTGATAGTAGACACAAATAACATCTTATAATTCATATTATCTTTGATAGAGAAAATTGTTTCTATGATTAATTCAGACCCCGTGTTTTATTTGGTGTAGGTATCTCATTCTGAAGTGTCCACTGTTTACCTGTAGGCTTCTGTAAATTAGAGTGTGGCGTGTCGCTTGGTATTTGTACCAAGCATCATGAAGTGTGTGCCTCAGCACAGCTGTTGATCAGTCTTTACTGGAATTGTTTAAAGTTCTTCTGAGACCGCTATCTCTATTTTTAAAATTTTTATGGCCAAATGCTGGTGAGGGTGACTTAATCAGACTGTGGAGAGCTTTTCGTTGTGTCTTTGTATATTAAATACACTCATTTATCAAAATGCAACTCAGAACTACCAATTTTTGAGTGTCACTTGTGTGCCAAAAAGGTGTCAGCCTTTGACATACATGATCAAATGCCCTAAAAATAGAAATCTGTTTGGCTTTCTTTTCTTCTGATTCACACAATTTATTCTCTGTCTCCTGCCCCATATTTTCTGAGCGCTCAGGTGCAGGCAGGTATACATGGCTGCTTATTCTCTATTATTGGTGTGAAAACGAGTATGTCAGAGCCTGGGTCTTTTCCTGCACGTGACTCTTCAGCCACACATTTTTTTGTGCTCCGCACATTTTTTTTCAGCTCCGTTTTGTTTTGTGCGTGTGCCGTGCTGATCAGGGATCCTGTGCTTCTTGCTGGTCCCAGTGCATGTGATCTGTTGCTGCAGTGTCGCTGTGTTCCTCACCCACTTAACCGACTACCTTATGAGGCATAGTTCACCTTTACCCAGAAAATGAGTGTCTAGGCAACTTGCTGGAATGATCCCCTTGATAATGAAGTTTCTCTGGATTTTGTTAACTGCTTGTAACACTAGTTTTAGCCAGGAGAAAACACTAATTCTTTGGTTCTGGTTGCCTTATTAGAATCGACTTTACTCCTTAGTGTACTGCACTGACTCTTTCAGCTTAATGAAACGAAAATTCACTCTACCATCAAATCCCTGACATTCTTGTAGCCTCCATAAAGTTTGTCCATCATATCTCACTTTTCTTCACACCTGCAGGGGTTTCCAGGTGTAAGGGCTTATTGGACTGTGAAACTGTTTCTGAGAAGGCCACTGCATAAAGTAGTATATTGCATTGTGTACAGGACTTCTGTTTCCTGCTCTCGACAAGGGCTGGTGGCCTGGGAATCAATCTGGCTTCGGCAGACACGGTCGTCATCTTTGACTCTGACTGGAACCCCCAGAACGACTTGCAGGCACAAGCCCGAGCCCACAGAATTGGTCAGAAGAAGCAGGTCAGTGGAGAGAGACATCTGGATGTGGTTTGGGGGAGGCCCAAAAGTGGGGGGGGGGGGTGTTATTAAGCCCTTCCAGGATGTTTGTAAAATGCTTTTTTTCCTGGTTTGCTTTCATTTCCTTAAGTGTAGATGCCTGCTTGTTAATTAGTACAGAGAAGGCGTCTAAGGTGTTTTGGGGCTAAGATGAACTTCTTAGGGAACTGTTCTCTTTTGGTGTTTGAAAAGTATATCACCAATGACTTTCAGGTTTACCCCAGGAAAGAGATTTGATGAATAGATTTAGAACTGAAATTTTTCTCTATTTTAATGTGGGTAAGTTGTTAAATAATCTAACATTGTTTAAAATGGCCTATTTTTATTACACATGACAGTGTTCGCTCTGAGCTATGTTGTAAAAATACATGCTTGCTTTTTTTTGTTTTTTGTTTTTTGCTTTGAGATTCCATGTGAATCTCAAAATCTGCTCTAGTATCGGGTAACACCTAAGTTTCATATTCGGCCAGAGGTTCAGTTTTGGTGAAACTTTTCACCAGTGAAACTGATTATTCTTAGCAAGATTTTTATCATTAGAATAGGCTATGATAATAGTTCTTTAGAGGCAGTCTTATTTAAGATTGTAACTGGTTACGGTAAAAATATTGCATCTACTCAAGCCACCTGTTTGGATGGATGGCTTATAGTCATTTCTGGTAGGAGAGTAAGTCTTTTTTTATTTCTCTTCTTGGTTTTAGACAGAGGTAACGTGTGTGTGTGTGTGTGTGTGTGTGTGTGTGTGTGTGTGTGTGTGAGAGAGAGAGAGAGAGAGAGAGAGAGAGAGAGATCTGGTATAAACATAACCTTTTCTCTTTGTGTAGGTAAATATTTACCGGTTGGTTACAAAGGGGACTGTGGAGGAGGAGATCATTGAACGGGCCAAAAAGAAGATGGTATTGGACCATCTGGTGATTCAGCGCATGGATACCACTGGCCGGACAGTTCTAGAAAACAACTCAGGAAGGTCCAAGTAAGTGCCAGAAAGACAGAGGAGGTGGTCAGAGCCAAACTGATTTTACATCAACAGTTCATAGAATTCATCCTTCTAATAGGATTCTCTACAACTGGTGTTATTCATTAATTACCTAGAGAAGGCCAATCCAAGACCACAAGATGTCATTTTCATTTTTTTAATTTCTTTTTTTGCCTCTCAGCCCTCTGCTCATGTGCTCTCCCTTTCTTGCCCCTCTGCTTGCCTTTTGGTTTTGTCTCCACATATGACATTTGACGCAGCAGCAGTGGCAGCCACATGCCCCTCCATCATACTTTCATCTCAGCGCGAAGTCACCTTAAACATTTCAGTAGTGAGAATCTGCCAGATGGGGTTGGCCGCTGTTTACTATTGGTGAAAAATGTTTGTGTGGAGATTGTTACTTTTCCTACTAAAAACAGAAAGGTCTAGAAGGAAGATAGTCAAGTTTCAGTTGGTTTTATTTAGGAGCACAATTATTTCTGATTGAGTTTACGTTTTGACCAAATTGCTGAGTGTCTTCTGAGGCCTCCCTGCAGCCTCTGTCACAAGTAGAAGTCAAATGAGCCCTTCCCTAAAAAGAATATTTTCAGATCATTTTCCATTCAAGAGGAACCTAAATGGAAAAAGCTTGGTTCTTTTATTTTGGACCAAAGATGAGAGGTTGAAAATTCTTGGTAAACGATAACTTTCTGAGTCAAAGGACAAAGAGAAAAAAGAATTCTCTTCTTTCATGTTGCTAATTATGTTTCTTAACCCTGTAATGGATGAGCTGTCGGGAAAATAATTCATTTCTTAGTCTGTGGCTAGGTTAGCTTTACCAACACAGACTTATCCTGGGGATTAAAAAAAATGAAATCTTTGAGAGATCATTTTTCTTGGGGCAGAATTTACCAGTAATTTGACTCCTTTTTGAAGGGTAGTTATTTTATAGTAGAATTCCATAGAGGTTATTTGACATTCCTGCGAGATTACAACTACATTTTACTTCTACAGCTCAAATCCTTTTAATAAAGAAGAGCTGACAGCTATTTTGAAATTTGGAGCAGAGGATCTCTTCAAAGAACTTGAAGGGGAGGAGTCAGAGCCTCAGGTAATTAACAATGAGGAAAAAACGTTTTTGACAAGCATCCGTGGGAGTCTAAATTTTTCTGGAAGCAGATTTTGAGTCTGTTAGAGGTGTTTATAAAGAATAGTAATTACTTGAAGGGTATAGTTTCTTTTTTATTTTTAATAGAGCTCAAAGCTCTTACTAAATAGAATAGGAAAGAATGAGAAAAGCATTTGAGGATTCTGTCTTTGCTCCTTTTGATTCCAGTTTTATTTCCTGTAATTTCCTAAGTTCACCTTGTCATTTGTATAAATAATAGTTTGAGACATTAGAGGTAAAGGAATAAGCTTGAGTACTGTAAAGGTAAATGAAGTATCAGAAAGGAGATTTGGTTTATTTGCACCAAACATCTGCAGTTCATGCTGATAACTGTTGACCATTTACCATATTGTATTGTTGGTGTCCCTTTAGGAAATGGACATAGATGAAATTTTACGCTTGGCTGAAACTAGAGAGAATGAAGTGTCAACAAGTGCGACAGATGAGCTTCTGTCACAGTTTAAGGTATGAAAATTATTGTGGGAGGAAATTCTCAGCATTGATTTATTAACTACTACTAATTATCTGTGAGTACTTCCTGTGTGCAAGGTGCTCTACGTTTAATTTACCTCAGTTGACTCTTACCTTTCTTTTCCCAAGTTCCAGGTGTGTGTATAGATAGTTATCGTGAGTGTAGACTATAGATAGCCTTCTGTGTGTAGGTAGTAGCTTACGTGGTGTGCTCTGCCCAGTCAGAGTCAGTGGATAGAGAAAAGTTGGTGAAGGGGCTCAGAATATGTGTCAATGAGATATGTGGAGAAGCAGATAGTGTGGAGCTCTGGAAAGTGTGGAAGGGGTTGTGGAGAGACATTAATAGAATCAGATGACAAAAGAGGTCAAAGGTATGAAACAGAAGGTGACAGAAAGCTCTTGATGACTTGGTGGTTTTTTTTTTTTTCTCTTAAGAGCAATATAGAGTGGTGTCTGATACAACAAAATTAAATGAGGTCAGATCTAAGTGCAGAAGCTGGGCACCAGATGAATAGGAAGGAGGTGGCAGCATTGAGTATAGACTTAATTTAAAAGCTTATAAAGAGTGTAGTGAAGGTGATTTATGAGGATAGAAGAGTCAAGGAAGGCAAGGGTTTTGAAAGATGTTATGTCTTTAGGTTGAGGAAAGAGCTTGAGAATAGGGAGATACTGGAGGTTCTAAGGAAAGAAGGAAAATTTGATAACACATTGCCTTAGAAGAGAGTAGAAGGGATATAATCAAAAACATGGTGATGGAGTTGGCCTTCAAAAGAAAAAGGAAGGTACGCTTCAGGGTCTAGGAGGGGAGAGAAGATGTGGGATTCCTTCCTTGGTGACTCTAATTACCAGTAAGTAAATAAAGTAGAAATGATTTGAGACAGCCATAGGTGGGGCCAAGAGTTACGGGAGGAACTGAAGGGAGGAGTGAGCTGAATTTAGAAGATAGGACTTCAAGGGGCGCCTGGGTGGCGCAGTCGGTTAAGCGTCCGACTTCAGCCAGGTCACGATCTCGCGGTCCGTGAGTTCGAGCCCCGCGTCAGGCTCTGGGCTGATGGCTCAGAGCCTGGAGCCTGTTTCCGATTCTGTGTCTCCCTCTCTCTCTGCCCCTCCCCCGTTCATGCTCTGTCTCTCTCTGTCCCAAAAATAAATAAATGTTGAAAAAAAAAAAATAAAAAAAAAAAAAAAAAAAGATAGGACTTCAAGTTGGAGCCAGTCAGCAGGGTCATATGACTTCCTCCAGTGGTACTTGAGGCCAGAGGGATTGGTTCATTTGGTGGTCCCAAGGTGGTAGATTGGCTTGCGATACTGAGGATTGTCCACGTGGCAAAAGTTTCCCGAATTCAAGTGAGAACATGGTTGAAAGGATTGGCTACGGGCTGCTTCCATACAGGTTAGAGAAGCAGGGGACATCTGAAGGTTCCAGTGATGGTTAAATGCAGTACAACCTTTAGGATTGTGAGAGAGATGGGCGAAGTGTTGGGAAGGGAGCACTAGTATGTGACGAGGTCCAAGTTTGGCCACAGGTAGAAGTTGTCTCAGAGGAAGAACACAGAAGGAACTGAATAAACCAAAGGATCAGAGTAAGTGTGTTTGAGGCTCAAGGTGAATTATTACTGTTTGTACTGGACTCCCACTTCTATGAATACTACTCTCTTTTAAAAAGTAATCTTCATGATGATGATTTGGTCAAAATATTATGTGATTAGGTATAACAATTTCTGCATATTAACAGGTTAATCAGAAGTGGTCCGCATATTACTGGTGACCCTTGCCTTTCTAAAGCCTTTTTGGCTGTTACATTTCAGTACCTGATCAAGTGATTTGATTAACAGTAAGAGTCTGTCTACCCTAGAGGGGCTTTTTTATTTCTGGAGTGTTTCAACTGAATTGACTTTGTTTTTCCCACAAATCCTTTTTTATCCTAATTTAATATGTTGGAAAAGATAGTAAGCTTTTTTTGAGATAACTTAAGATTACTATTTTCTTAAGTAATAGTAATTACTTAAGATTACTATTTTCTTAAGTAATTGATATTTGGATACTTCAAGCCCTTTTACAAACCTAGGATGAAATAGATATTATTTTCTTCGTTTTATCGATAAGGCATCTTAGGCACAGAGGGGCTAAGTAGATTTGCTAAGGTGACACATATTAGAGTTATGATTACATCCTAGGCAGGGGGTCTGGCCTGTAGCGTGTGGCCTTTAACCACTTCGCACTTTAACCACTTCACTTCCCGTCTGCATGAACCACTGACATATATATTTATATCATTTATGTTATTTTTATCTAGCTGTTTTAAAAGTCAGATCTAAAGTAATTACAGACAGTACTTAATTTAAGAGATTGGGCAAATGATTTTATAAAACAAAAATGTTAAATTTTCAGTCTAAGAAATTATATCTTTTGTTTTTGCCTTGGAATTATAAAAATCTTATCCTGAAGACCACAGTATCTTGTGGTGGAAGTTAGAATTAATTGTGGCCAAAAGTCATAAACTTCTGGTTTCACTGTCAGTTCTAAGTGACTTTGAGGAATGGAACCTCCAAAAGCTCTTTTGTACTTAATTATAGCCTTAAAGACTAGATGGGAGGGTGTAAAAAGGATGTGAAGCCTGTGTCTGGGGCTTGCCCACCACTGCTCAGAGGCTGACCAGAGCTGTAGGATGTGTCTGTGTGTAGCCACAGTCCGAGTCTTTGAAATGCGTACACTTAGATGATTTTTGTTCTGGTGTACATATATACATATACATAATACGTATACATACGCGTATACATATGTGTACATATGTACAAATCGATGCCAGATAATAAATATTTGATATGTCACAAATGGAATATTCTTCCAGGTTTGTTTGAATTTTTTGTGTTTTGTATTCTCGTTTTCATTTCTGAGAGTAACGTGCACTTTTGAGTGTATGAAATCATTGCATACCTTTAGTTTCTATACTTCAGATAAAAATGAGTAAGGCAGCTGGTTGGGTATTGATTGCTTCTGCTTTGAGTTATGCATTATTTCCAATGAGCACTACTTAGTAGCAATTTATAATTTAGAATGATAATTTCATAATGGATTGGTATTTAAGTAACTCTAAATTTTCCAGTTAGTATCATATTTGTGTATGATTTAACAACAAATCTTTGCATAAAACTTCTAAGACAATTTATATCTTTATATCTGTTTCCCTATTTCTCAGTAATATTTCTGATGAGGGTTTGGCAGGATGATTTAGGGAGAATAAGGGAGAGATTAGCAGATAATTGATTATCTGATTATATAATATCACAGGAGTTCTGATATTACAGTGTCTTATTTGGATTAAAAATGCTGGCTGAGTTGGAGGTTTAGCAGATGGTGTTTGGGAAATAGGGAAATGTCAGTCAGGCAATGAGTTGTCCATTTGTTTGAAGGTTGCCAACTTTGCAACAATGGAAGATGAAGAAGAGCTAGAAGAGCGGCCTCACAAGGACTGGGATGAGATCATTCCAGAGGAGCAAAGAAAAAAAGTAGAGGAGGAAGAGCGTCAGAAGGAGCTAGAAGAAATTTATATGTTGCCTCGAATTCGGAGTTCCACTAAAAAGGTGATCAAGTGAGATCAAGATAGGAAAGTACTTCTTACTCTGCAAAGTACTAATTATTAAATTACTATGGAAGTACTGATTATTCAAGAAAGAGGCTTTACATTGTTGCCTTGACATGGGAGGAATATTTTAGAGTAAAATTCTCAGAGAAAGAGCACTCTGCTTTGCTCATGAGTGCACCGGTTTGACATTTGATCTTTATAAATTGGTTCTTTGTGAGACAGATGGATGGGATTGGAGTTTGGCAGAAATGTGCATTTTCCTGTTGAGATTAGAACCAGTAATCCTAGCAGCTTGGTTCTATTTGACTGTGCCTTTGACTTTTAGAGCCAACCTCCTTTTGCCTTTAAATGTTTGTTCATGGCACTTGGTATAAATACCTCGTAAGAGATTATATGACTGCAAACAGAGAACAAACACGTACTTCACAGCTTATAAAGCACCATTACAAGCTCCATCTAATTTAATTGTTACAACAACATTGATACAGGTAGAACAAGTTTTATTACCAGTTTGTTGGACATAACAGATTTGGCCAAGGTCATAGCAAATGAATATTAGTAATAGTAGCTACCGTTGATTGAGCACTAATTGTGTGCCAGGCATAGTCATGTTATTGTGCCTATTGACTCATTTAAATCTTCATGAAAACCCAAGTAAGAGGTACTGTTCTCCCCATTTTACAAATGGAAAACGTAAGCACAAAGGGGGTAAAGTAACTTACCCAAGGAAGTAAACATGAACCTACAATTCAGATAGTTTTATTCCATTTCACTTGGCATTACGTTTCAGTATATCTCTGGAAATATGAATATCCCAAGCAGGTCTACCTTCATGATGTGAAATCTGCCTCCTTATTGTCTTAAAGGAAAATGGACGTGTCCGATAGGATGAAAAGTTCCGGGTACTAAAGAATTAAGATGGGCTGGCTTTGGTCCTTTGGCCTCTTGTGCTTGGCACTAGCTACAATGTGACTTTGCCCTTTCAGGCTCAGACAAATGACAGTGACTCTGACACTGAGTCCAAGAGGCAAGCCCAGAGATCCTCTGCCTCTGAGAGTGAGACCGATGACTCCGATGATGACAAGAAGCCAAAGCGCAGGGGGCGCCCCCGAAGTGTGCGGAAGGACCTTGTCGAGGGATTTACCGATGCAGAGATCCGAAGGTTTGTGGAGGCTCTGCTGTCTCTCACTCGAGTGTGTTTGGAGGGTGTGCTGTGAGCCGTGGGCTGCTGGGATTCCTGGCATTTAAGACAGGGAGGGCAGAGGCTGACAACCTGCAAGGAAGGCAGGAGACGGAATCCTTCCCTGAGTCTCCAAAATGGTTCTTCCCTCTCCAGGGTTTTCCTCGCTTGAGCACTCTCTTGTTGGTTGCTCAGCTCTTTTTGTTTTCTTCTGTTCTCTGGTTACTCTGAGCATTTTCACAAAGGAAGTCCAGCCCCCCAAGAGAAAAGACATAATTGGAGGTAAACTTGGGCTGAGCCTTTCTTTTTTTTCTTTATTTAAGAATAGGAATATAGGGACGCCTGGGTGGCTCAGTTGGTTAAGCCCCTGACTCTTGGTTTCAGTTCAGGTCATGATCTCATGGGTTGTAGGATTGAGCCCCTGTGTCAGGCTCTGTGCTGACAACACGGAGCCTGTTTGGGATTCTCTCTCACTCTCTGCCTCTCCTCAGTTTGAATTCTCTCTCTCAGAAAAAAAAAAAAAAAAAAAAAAAAAAAAAAAAGAATGCACACATGCCCAAGTGTCTGTGTATATAAAAGAAATAGTATGAATGTAAAAAATTAAAACAGTATGGATAATGCTACTTTCATACCCTTGGTCTTCCCAGCTCACTTCCCATCAAGCTGATACCCATTTGGGTGTGGTTTGGTTTATTAGTAGTATACCCAACATACTGGTTCTGCATCCTTTTCTCACTTGTAACTGATTTTAGATGTCTGTGTCCATACTTATTGCACATTTGTTGGTATGTAATTCATACACATCTGCCCTCCAAAAATGCTTGTAAGCATTTTTTTCCCCACTTTGCATGATGTTTTTTATTTTAGGCTGAAGAAAATAGTATGAAGATACTTCATATCAATTAGTCCTTCCAAGTTAATATAAACTGTGAGGTCTTTATTTTCCCCTGAATTGTTATAACTATCCTTTCCTTCTTTTTTTATTATGGAACAGTGTAAATATATGCAAACATTGACAGAATAGAGTATATGTCCTCTCATACTTACAATGTTATCATCGTAACCATTTTGAATTTGTAGGTAGTCTTATATGTATACCTTACGTCCTCTTGCCTCCTACCCTCAGTATTATTTTGAAAAGAATGTGGGGGCGCCTGGGTGGCTCAGTCGGTTAAGCGTCCAACTTCGGCTCAGGTCATGATCTCGTGGTTCGTGAGTTTGAGCCCCACATGGGGCTGTCTGCTGTCAGCACAGAGCTTGCTTCAGATCCTCTGTCTCCCCCTCTTTCTGTCCCTCCCCTGCTCGTGCGCTCGCTCTCTCTTTCAAAAATAAAATTTTTTAAAAAAGAACATATTCTGTGATAGTTGGACACAACGTTCTACAGATGTTTGTTATGCCTGTTTGTTTCCATGTTGTCTGAGTCTTCCATTTCCTTACTGATCTGCATGAATAGGCCCTTTTATAATAAGATGTTCTCTCTTTTTTTTTTTTTTTTTTTTTTGTCTCTCGTAATGATTTTTGTCCTAAAGTTCATTTTAACATATCTGATACTGGGGGCGACTGGGTGGCTCAGTTGGTTAAGCATCTGACTCTGGTTTCGGCTCAGGTGATGATCTCGCAGTTTTGTGGGTTTGAGCACCGAGTCAGGCTCTGTGCTGGCCGCGTGGACCTTGCTTAGGATTCTCTCCCTCTCCCGTACTCTTTGCCCCTCCCCAACTTGCACTGTCTCTGTCTCTGTCGAATAAATAAATAAATAAAAAAATCTGTACCAGTGTTGCCACTTCAGCTCCTTTTGGATATTGTATGCACACTATCTTTTTCTCTTTTTTACTTCAGTATGCTGTCTTTGAACCTAGGTTGTGTCTCTTACAGACAGTATGTAGTTCTATCATATTTTAAAAATCTATTCTTTCAAGGTTTTCATTTTGGAGTCTTTAATCATATTTGCATTTCATGTAATTACTGAGAAGTTAGAATTTATGCCTGCATTTTACCATTTGTTTTCTTTATGTCTTATGTTTTGTTTGTTTTTTTTTATTCCTAGGGCTACAAACTTTTGTGTTATGTAGGTGCTTTTTAGTATATCATTTTAATTCCCTTGTTTCTTTGTGTTTCTCATAATTTTCCCATATAGTTTCGTTTACTGTATTTTCAGTTGTTTTCCTAGTGGTTTCTTGGAGATTATAATTAGTACCTTAACTTGAAACAGTTTTGTTTGGAGTATCATCAACTTAATTCCAGTGCTGTCTTAAAGTTTTACTCCAATATAGCTTTAATCCTCAACCCTCTTCTGTGCTATTATTGTCAGGCAAGTTATATTTTTACATGTTATAAACCCATCAACACAGTTTTATAATTACTGCTTTATGCAGTTCTAAAAAATCAGCTGGCAGAGCGGGAGGCTGTGCACCTGGGTGGCTCAGTTGGATAAGCGTCCAACTCTTGATTTTGGCTCAGGTCATGATCTCATGGTTCATGAGATTGGGCCTCGTGTCAGCTTCTGCACATCTCCCACTCATGCTTGCTGTCTCTCTTAAAATAAATAAAACTTAAGAATGAATGAATGAGGGCCTCTGGATGGCTCAGTCGGTTAAACGTCTGATTTTAGTGATGTGGCAGATTACGGTGAGGACTATGATGTATCATGACATCCTGCTTTTTAGCTGTTGGGAGGGAAGCAGATGACAGACGAGCCAGCATAGAACACAGTTAAGGGTAGAGATTTGTGGATCGATTGGATTTTTGTTTGCAGATAAGGTTGCACAGGAGGAGTCAGTAGAGTTTCCAAAATAGTTTTGCCTAAGAACTTTTAAATCATATATTTACTTTGCCTTGTTCCCAGAAGTATTTGAGGCAGTGTTAAAAATCTTACAGTTGTGTTATTGACCAGAAAAGAATAAAAAATAATTACCATGTGGAATCGATAGTAACAGTATTGGACTGAATAGAGAGGTTAACCATATTGGAGTCTTATCCCAAGAGTTGTGGTGGTTGAATCATTTACTCCATATTGAACTCCACAAACTTGTACCTTCTAAAGGGTATTTTTAGAGTTAGATCTCTGTTCTCTGTAATGACCCTTTCAGTTTCTTGCTCAGTCACTGAGTAAAATTGATCTTTACTTTGACTACATCTTTAGCACTCGTTATTTTCAGTTGACAAGTTTCAGAGTCATTCAGCACTCTTTTAGTTAGTGGCAGTTGCAAGGATTGGGCTCAGTCTGTTTTGACAGTGTGTATGACGTGTTTCATCACAGGATGTGTTGTATTTGTATCAGCAGAGCTAAGAGCGTCTTTTTTAATGTGTTTTATTGATCCTGTTCTCAGGTTCATCAAGGCATATAAGAAGTTTGGTCTCCCTCTTGAACGGTAAGCTCCTTATCCACCTGTTTTTCATTTTTATTATGTAGCAGGGTTTTTTTGGGGGGGGGAGGTACTACTTTCCATTTAGTACTAACGCTAAGAACATTTATTTTCCTGGAAATTTTTTAACAAATATTAGCGTGTTGTGTGATTGTACACGGCCTTTTGGGGAGGGATGACAAAGATGACCATCTGAAGAGAGATTTTGCTGGAGTGGAAGATGTAGCAAGTACATTCAAAACTGTAATGCAAAGAAATAATTTCCAGAAGCGATGCTCACAAAATTCCATTTGAAAGAATACATGTAGTAACTATTTGCATCCTAGTTCTTATTCAGTAATGTAAATTTGCGATTTTGTAGTCTTCTTCTTCTTCTTCTTAATAGGGTGTCATGAGGATTAAATGCAAATAGCTTGAGACCTTTCCAGTTGTAACTTACTAAAGGTTGACTGTCATTACTATTTCACTATTTTACGTGCATTCTGAAAATGAACTCAGAAGTTGGATTTCAGCAAGACTCTTTCAGCCTAGTTTAGTACTTTGTCCAGAATTAGCAATATATCCTATAAATAATAGTACTGATTTGAAGGGAATACCAGATTCCTTTCTCTTATTCTTGATAAACTTCTGGAGTAGTAGAACATTACAAGCCTGTGTGTTTTTGTCCTGTCTGTTTGGAGAGGAAGCAGTGATGTGTAGCAGTAGCAACAGTGAAACCAAGAAAGTCAGGCACACCTTGCCAGGATTGTTGCTGATCCTCCAGGTCAGAATGCTGGTCTTTGAGCCCGGTACCATAAAAATCACCAGGGTCTGGGAAAGTGTGTCTAGCTCCTTTGGGCAGACTGATTTTTAGACGTTAACATATTTGCATGCTTCATGTGAGATCAGTGAAACATACTGTAGCAGTAACTGTACTTTGCTTCTAGGAATATTGTAACGAATGAGAGTAGGGCTGGAGAAAGGATTGTGAGCTTGTCCAAAGCAGCAGAGTAGTGCAGTTTTTGGCACTTGACCTGCTACCATTGTCAGACAGCCCATCTAGTTAGTAAAGGAAGCCGACTCCTTTCCCCTGTGTTTTTTGAAATTACTTTGTTTTGTGAACTACTCCAAGGCACAGTTCTTAATGATGGAATGCGTACATTAGCCCTGCGTCGCTGTTGGAGGGCTCTTGGTGGAGCCTTGACACAACCATTGAGGAAAGGAGAGAAAGATGTCTTTGCAGGAGCAAGCATGTAGGGGACCAGGTGGTAGCTCATGTGACATTAGAACAGTGGCCACAGGGCCTTGATGTGTCCCCATATCTGTCCTTCCTCAGGCTGGAGTGCATAGCCCGCGATGCAGAGCTGGTAGATAAGTCCGTAGCGGATCTGAAACGCCTGGGTGAGCTGATTCACAACAGCTGTGTATCAGCAATGCAGGAATATGAAGAACAGCTGAAAGAAAATGCCAGCGAGGGTAAGTCAGCAAGTCCCTGCCCATGGTTCTCCTGGACCTGGCACTTGGGAATGGGAATTGTGCTAAGGGGCTGGTTTTTGAAGAACAGACTTCTATCCCATGCATCCCTAATCCTTTGAGGTGTGTATTCTGACCTTCCTTTCTGTGAGCTCAGTGTTGTGAGATCCCAGAGCTCGACTCACAAACGAAGTTGATTTGCAGAAGGTGGAGGTGATGAACAGCATGAGTGCTTTCTTCTGATGTTGCTCCAGAAACCTTAGATTCGTGTTAACGCTCTAAAGCCCTGAGTGGGCAGAGCTGACTGTATACATCTGTGTTTCAGCTACAAATGAGGACCTTGTTGACAACGATCATCTCTAATTATCTGGGATATACAAGCATGAGTTGTGTTGTGACAGACTTAAAAGGATTAGAGAATTGGAATAAATAAAATAGGAGATGAATATTGTAAACATTTCTGTTACAGCGAGATTTTCGTGGCACTAGAATTTGTTATGAGTGACAAGTTATACCCTCTCAATGGTCTCATTTGCTGAGAGTAACGGTGCCAGCCTCAGAGGTTAGAACGATTACTGTGTAATCCCATACCTGAAAAGTGCCTATTAGCATGTTGTCTGGCTTGCAGTGTTAGCTAAGATCAGTGAAGAGGTATTTGTGCTTTAGATTTTTTTAAGGGCATTATCGAAAGTAGTAGAATTTTAAAATACCTTCAGTTAGATGGGGTGCCTGGGTGGCTCAGTCAGTTAAGTGTCCAGTTTCGGCTCAAGTCATGATCTGATGGTTCGTGAGTTTGAGCCCCCTGTCAGGCTCTGTGCTGACAGCTCAGAGCCTGGAGGCTGCTTCAGATTCTGTGTCTCCCTCTCTCTGTGCCCCACCTCCACATGTGTGCATGTGTTCACGCACACTCTCTCTCTCTCTCTCTCTCTCAAAAATAAATATTAAAAAAATTAAAATATCTTCAGTAGAGTCAAAAGTTTCTTTAGATGTCTTTTCCTTTTTTGTGAAAGAAACTTAAGTGGTTTGGACAGTGATCCCAGTTCATGTTTTTTATAGCACTCAGAATACACCCAAGAATAAACTTTAAGTTTACAGTCTTTTCTTTTTTCATTGTAATTGTTGTGAATAAATTTTACGTTCACAGGGTTCAAAATTTAAAAACGGGTACCCTGTTTCTTGTATCTTTCTAGAAATAAGAAAATACATATTACAAAAAATGAATAGATGATATTTTTCCCCTTATTCCCACAAAAATGCAGAACCATGTTCTGCGCCTTGCTATTCCTATCTCCCAGTATATTTTGGTGAGATTTCCTTGTAACAGTTCCCTGCCTCCCACATCCCTCTTTTTTGATTCATGTTTTCATTCTGGATCCGGTTAATTGCTTCCTCCTGCCATTGGTAACTTGTTCCCCCTATCTGTATTTGCCATGAACTCTGGGTTCAGGATGACATTTTTCATTCAGATGTAAGATTGTTGATAACTCTTTCCTTCAAGCGGGAAATTTTTCCTAAAAAAGCTAACATAATTATGTATTTGTCTTATCCTACATTGGACACATTTCTAAATATCAATACCAGTCTTACTCCTCAAAGTTTGATTTCTTTGCTTTTTTTCATCCCACTGGCTCTGGGCGGTCAAAATACTGTGTTTTAAAATTATTTGAAGTTCTTCTTTTCTCTCTGCTGTTAGCTCACCCACTTAATAGCACAACCCCTTTAAGTTTCATTTACTTTCAACTTTCAGGGGTTGCTTTTCTCATGTTGACTTAACTCTCATTTACATGGTCCAAAGCTCCAAAACTCTGAAACAAGTTTCATTTAGAGAATCTTACTTTCATCCCAGCCCCCAGTCCTGCTTTCTTCTTCCCCCATAGGTTGGTGTTTCTAATAATACTTTAGGGTTTATCTTTTTACTGTTTCTCTGTAAGAATTTCAGTGTGTGTGTGTGTTTCCCCTGTTGTGTTCTTCGTATTTTCACGTGCGGAGATCACTCCTTTTGCATTTGCAGTGCTCCACCACGTAGTAAATGTTAGTTCGGACTTCATTGTTCCCGAGCAACAAATATTTGGGTTGTTTTTAGCCATTTTAAAGAAAGCCACAGTGAATTTGTAGTCTAATGGATATGCTGTTTCGTATCTCTGCCAGCGTATCTTTTGGATTGGTTTCTGGAAGGGGTTTGCTGGGTCCTGGGGAAGTAGGACTTGGTTGGAATTTGCTAAATTCTCCTCCAACCGTCTGGTACCATTTATACTGCCACCAGCAATGGATATTGGTGGTGTTTACAGGCCTCACAAACAGGATATTGTCAAATGGTTGGGTTTTTGCCAAGATGATAGGTGAGAAATGGTGTCTTGTTTTTCTTTTAATGAGTAAGGTTTTTCTAAGAGCCATTTGTGAACCACCCATTTTCTGCTTTGTTTTCTTTTGAGCTGTTGGTCTTAATTTTTAGGATCTCTTTTTCTGATGGAAGTTCCTGGTTTTCCCCTATAGTGTGTAATTTGTCTTTTTACTTTGCTTATGGCATTTTAAAAAAACTTAAATTTTTTATATAATCAAATGTATCCGTCTTTTTACCTTATTGTGTTTAGGTTTTGAGTCCGTTAAAAACATTTCCTTTACTCCCAGGATAAAAAGGAATTCACTGTGACTTTTTCTCCTCTTGTATGATTTCATTTACTTTTATATCTCTGACCCACTTGGACTTACCCAATTTTTTTTATTTATTTATTTATTTATTTATTTATTTATTTATTTCTAAAAATTTTTTTTTTAACGTTTATTTATTTTTGAGACAGAGAGAGACAGAGCATGAACGGGGGAGGGTCAGAGAGAGGGAGACACAGAATCCGAAACAGGCTCCAGGCCCTGAGCTGTCAGCATAGAGCCCGATGCGGGGCTCGAACTCACGGACCGCGAGATCATGACCTGAGCCGAAGTCGGCCGCTTAACCGACTGAGCCACCCAGGCACCCCCCCAATTTTATTTATTTTTTGTATGGTTACTGTATATCTCCATACCATTAAAAACGATTCATCTTTTTCCCACTGTCTGATTTTTATTCTTTTTAAGACTTGCATAGTCTGTTACTGATATACCATATGTTAAGGGACATTCAGCTGTATAATCTTTTGCTTTACAGTGTTGTGGTAGATAATTGTGTATGCTTTCCATTTTGCACCATTCTCTCCCACCAAGCATTGAATGAGGGTGTTGGTCTCTTGGTCTCACCAACATAATTTTCTCAAATTTTTGAATTTTTCAACATGATAGGTCAGAAATGGGATGCATATATATTTAATTTGCATTTTTCTTCTTGTGAGTGAGGTTGAGTATTTTTCAAATGTTTAGGAATCATTTGTATTTGCTTCTCTGTGAGTTGTCTCTGTCCTTTGCCCGTTTTTCTGTTGTAATCCTTTTATTTTAAGGTGGGGAAACTGATACTCAGGTTAATAACTAGAAGTGAGAATGAGAAAAGGGAAGGGAGGAAGGGGTACTATGTGCAGATTTGGGAATAAATCCAGATTTCTGAGTTTTAGAGAAGTGCCTTTCCCACTTTCTCACATTCTGTTCCAACTCTCTTCTGTATTGGGAATAGCATTTGCAAATGAATTCTAGTGGGTTACAGAAGAGTATCTAAATGATGGTTTATAATCATAGCATCATTTCATCAACTTGAATGTTAACAAAAAAATCTTTTTTTCAGGCTCTGAGCCATTTTTTTCTTTCATAGACAAGTGTCATCATCTTGTGTTGGACTATGACTAGATTTGACTGGGTTTCATCTTTAATTCTAGGATTATTTTAATCTGGCACTAGGGCTAAAGAAGTCTTTCCATGACACCTTATGTTCATCATTTCAGTTGGTATTAACTTGATCTACTTTTTTCATGGAGAAGATCATCTTTGTAACACTGGAGTTTTCTTGAGGCTCCTAGGTGGCTCAGTCGGTTAAGTGTCCTACTCTTGATTTGGGCTCAGGTCATGGTCTCTTCAGTTTGTGAGCTTGGGGTTCTTTCTCTCCTTCTCTTTCTGCCCCTCCCCTGCTTGCACTCTCTTTGTCTGTCTGTCTGTCTGTCTCTCTCTCAAAATAAATAAACATAAAAAAAAATTTCAAGTTTTCTTGAATTGTTAAGAGGATAGTTAGAAAATGAAAGAAATCAGTATTACTATTCATCCTTCCAAATCTTTTTTACTTTTAATTTTATAACCAAAGTATAAAACAAACAGGAAAGTTAAAATAGAATTATAAATACCAGTGGATTAAAAAAAAATCCTAAATCTTAAAAATCTGGAGAATTATTTGGAGGCTACTTTATAAACATTAATTGAGAAACTTTTGATTTTAGATTATATCTTTGAACTATAACAATAAGCCACAGATCGATTTCTAGTGAATAGGAGTTGGAACTCCAGAAAATTCTCACTTAACTAATGTGAAATTGGTGTTCTTCAGGGAAAGGACCAGGGAAAAAGAGAGGCCCAACAATCAAAATATCTGGGGTTCAGGTTAATGTGAAATCCATTATACAACATGAGGAAGAGTTTGAGATGCTGCATAAATCTATCCCTGTGGACCCTGAAGAAAAAAAAAAGTGAGTCTGTCCTGTGCATACTCATGAGTGGTTGTGTTGTAAGAAAGTGGATTTGGGGTTAAGTCATGGATTGTCAGGTCATGTTTTCACTGTCTTTTGTAAAATACATCAGATACTTTGTGTCATTTGTGTTCATTTCCAAATTTGAAAGGGCCCCCCTCTCATGTCCTCCTGTTTTTGAAATCCCTCTAGATACTGCTTAACCTGCCGAGTGAAAGCTGCACATTTTGATGTCGAGTGGGGGGTAGAGGATGATTCGCGTTTACTCCTGGGAATTTATGAGCATGGCTATGGAAACTGGGAGTTAATTAAAACGGATCCAGAGCTTAAGTTAACTGACAAAGTAAGTAAATCTGTGATGCTGGAGATTTCCAGATTTGTTGAATAATATATATTTTTTGATAACTTATTTTTAACTATTTTCTGGGGGGTGGGGGATCAAATTTGAAATTAGTACAGTAGTAAATTCCTGGGATTTCTTTGTTTTGGGGAATATTACCATCTTTGGTGGACTGGGGCACTGTTACATAGATGAAGATAATAGCCAGGTGAAATTTTGGGGAAATCACAGGAGAAATCTTAAAATTCTAATTCTTCTTGAAGGTACATCAAATGTCATTGCAACAAATACCAGGGTAAGATTATTAATAATACAAGGATTCTTCGGCCTTAATTGTTGGCCGCTTGTTTAAAACTGTATTTGAAGCAGTCCTATTTCCATTCTGCACACAGAGTGAGCCACACCTTGGTGTTTTTTGTAATGGGATTAAACCTTGGCTGTACGTCTCCCACAGAATCGAGCCTCCCACCCTACCCGTAGCAGTCAGGCTACCAGACAGTGAGGCCGTGCTCAGAGCTGTAAGCAGGGAAAGCTGACTGGCTCAAACTTTAGTAGGACGCGCTCCACGTTGTGCTCCTGGCAGGGCTTTTCCTGGCACGTCAAACAATGCTCATCCCACGTGTGGTGTTCTGAGAGGGTGACAGCACCCTGCCATAAGCACTGAGACCAAATCCAGTCTGGCCCGAGAGGTCCCACCGTGGTAGCAGGGACGGACCACGTCCTGGCATAGCTCAGTGCTCTCCGGCAATGCTCTAAGAAGCATTTTCAATCTAAAACGAAGCTTTAACCTAGCTCCAGGGATTCCCTGCTCCTGGAAGGAGGAAATCCACGACGGCTGGGATGCTCTAGCAGATGAAGCCAACAAGCCCCTCCTACCTGAGTTGTTCTACCCTGTTAACAGCACAGGTAGGAGCCAGTGGGAGAGCTGGATTTCTCCATCCCATTTTGTAAAACGAGAACGGCTCATGAGGGATTTTCAGTGACCGGGAGCCATGGACGTGAGATAGGATCTGAGGCTTTATCTGTATTTCGGGTGGTTGGGGAGGGAAAGGACTGCTCAGTTCTTTGTTGTTTCTGTGTATCCGGATCCACTAACCGGGACATGGGTGGTGGCGGGTGCTTTTCTTCCTTTCCTGTTGAAGATTCTGCCCGTGGAGTCGGATAAAAAGCCGCAGGGGAAGCAGCTGCAGACCCGGGCGGACTACTTGCTGAAGCTGCTCAGGAAGAGTCTGGAGAAGAAGGGGGCTGTGACGGGCGGGGAAGAGGTGAGTGGGGCAGCCGACCGGGCATCCTTCAGCGGGCCGAGGCTCCAACCCTGCAGAATTAGGTAGGAGAAGGGATGCTTGCCCTCTCCAGGAGGTACATTCCATAGTCAGGTGTTGCTTTTGAGGGTGCAATAATGATGTTTTGGTTGGTAATAATAGAAAAGTTCATTCGGTAATTGACCTAAACATCTTGGCACCTTTCTTACAAGCCCACTGTCCTCCAGTATTGCCTCAAAATAGTCCTCACCTCTCCCAGCCCCACCTCCAGACATATGCTTTTACTGTTTCTTTGTGCTGCTTCCTCAATTTTGGAACATGGTATACTGGTTGTTGTATGAGTACCACCAGGTTTACCTGGTGTAGCTAACTCTGGGCTGCTTGAAGGATGGGTCCCGTAGGTCTAATGGATGGTTAGTGGATTCGGTGGGTTCAGTTAGGACTGCCTTACCTGCTCAGTGAAGAATACCAGCAGAGTTGCCAGTGAACCCATCTAAACCTTAATCTGCTTTTATTTTCCCAATTTTTCATTTCAAATGAGAATCACAGTGAGGAGGAGAGCGGTTATATTTGGTACTAGCAGCCTTTGTGGGTGCTGGTTCCTAGTCCTCTGAGAGCTCTGCCGTTTGCATTGGTTTCCCTGTATTATAAACAAAACAAATTTTATATAAAGTCACATTTCATTTCTGATCATTTTTAATATTATAGTGTCATAAGTAGTGCCATTCTCCAGACAGCATGTTGAGTATGAAGTGTACATTAGGTTCTGGAGGGACAGATTAGGTCATGTTTATACTTGTAGATTTCTGAACCATGTTGGAGTGGATCCATATTTTAACCTTTTTCCTAATTTTTAGATAGAGTGTACTTCTCGATTTTCAAATGTCACTGTTATGTCTCACATTAAATTTATTGGTACTTTTGTGCATAAAGGTGCTTTTCCAATTCTTCTGTATTCTATCGTTAGTGTGAATTCCAAATACTGGAATCCATAGGTTCAAGGATGTGGAGGCTTTTATGTGGCATAGGGACCTGTATAGGGCCTACATGACTGTTCTCCTTTTTTTTTCCCCCAGGTAGAATAAGTTGCATGCTTTGAATTGCCTTTGAATCTTCTCGTTTGAATTGTATGACTGCTCCTGCTCCGAAGAGTCCTAATGTTACCTGGTCATGCTTTTTAAGGGACTTGATTTGTGGTTTTAACATCATTTTCTCTCTCTTCCAGGCCAAATTAAAGAAGCGGAAGCCTCGAGTAAAGAAGGAAAACAAAGAGCCCAGGCTGAAAGATGAGCATGGGATTGAGTTTTCATCACCTAGACACTCAGACAATCCATCGGAAGAGGGAGAAGTAAAGGTATGTGGCTGGATTTCAGTTGACGGTTTGCTTGTAGGCTACATTTATTTTGCCAAGTGGTATATATAAAACCATTCAAGATGTGTTTGGTTTATATGCAAAGTCAATAAAGTGAAAATAGAATCTATATGTCTTTGTTTAACCTGTGAGAGGGGAATCGGTTCATTTAAGTCGGCCATTGCAGAGTCCTAGATAGTGGAAGTAAATGAAGGGACCCGTGCAAGGTGAAGTGATAAATGGCACACGACACCAAGCCTTGCGGTGAGAAAGGTTAGGGAGTGGTGGGGACTGTGGCTCACCAGGGGCCTCGTGCCTGATGCCGAGGGGCAGCGGCTCTGCTGTTCAGTGCTTCGTGGGCTAACAGAACGCTTCTGTGGGTCAGGTTTGGCCCGGGACTTGGCAGCTTGTGAGACCTCTGGCCTGAGCAAACTGAAAAATTGGTAGCATTTGGTGTGTTGTTTCAGGGAGTAACAACTTTATGGGATTTTATGTCGTTTCCCTTTGGGTGTGATGGTACTTTGAGATTAGCTCCAAGAGGATCAGCAGTGGGTGCAGAAAGTGGCATGGGTTTGTCATGCATATGCGAATTCAAAAACTAGCAACCTTGACAGTTACTAGGTGGTGGGTATATAACATCTCTGGGCCTCAGTTTTTTCTGTCTGTGAAATGGGAATGATAATGCCTCTGGTTGAAGGGTTGCTGTGAGAATTAGAGAGATGTGAGTCAAGAGCATCTGCGGCTCCAGGCCTAACTGGTTATTTATCATTGGGGAGTTTAGAGTTGTGTGAGTGCATGCATTAAGGCTGTAAGCCTGAAAACAAGCTTCCAAGTGTAGATGTAGTGATGAACCAATGTAGACGGTTGCTCCTCTCTAGAAAGTAGGCGAGTAGATACAAAGTTTGTGGCTAAAGCTCATAGCCCTGTTTGTTTTCTAGGATGATGGCTTAGAAAAAAGTCCAATGAAAAAGAAACAGAAGAAGAAAGAGAACAAGGAGAACAAGGAGAAACAAATGAGTTCTAGGAAAGACAAAGAAGGGGACAAGGAGAGGAAGAAGTCAAAAGATAAGAAAGAGAAGGTATCAGTGTCCTTCTACTTACTGAGATAACCCACAGCCTCTGAAATTTCTTCGAGGATTTAGAATGGCGTTTGAGGGTCTGGAAATCATCGTCTCTTTATGGGCACATCTAAGAAGGAAGGATGGGGTTGTCGGGGGGATGCTCGCACCTCCTCTTACAGAGAGGGGAATGTGCAGTTTGGGTTTTTTTTTTTTTTTTTTTTTTTTTTTAATATAGAAGGCCTTTGATCTTTCATAACATTTCAGAGGGGAAGTTTTGAATGACATAGGACAGGTGAGAGAAATCTGCATTCACAGGTAATGACTTGAAATATGTTCTTACGTTCATGGTAGAAGAATATAATCCATAGGTGAATTTGAATATTTGACGGGTTTAGGAGTTGAACCAAATATATCCAGAGAAGTGTTTAGAGTAGAAATGGATGAAAAACGCTGCTATTCTAGAACCTTTGCTTTGGGAGTTTTAAGAAGTTAATTCTAAACCACAGACTTCTGGTAGAGTGTTGCTTGTATGCTTGCTGACTTCTGATAAAATTATTTTGTAATTCACTCTTAATCATTAAAACATACAAACAAATATCTACTATAATCCCATCATCCAGTGATTTCTATAGTAGATTTCTTGATGAGTCCCTTTGGAACTTTTGTTTTATACGGATGACTATAAAATGAAGACCAACTCAGACTCTTTGGGTAGCCCTTTCTCCCAAATTCAGCAGTACATCAGAAACAACATTCCAAGTGAATAAGTGTTAAAATCACTTTGAATAAAGAAGGTTCTGTTTGGTTATATATCTTGGAAGCAATGTAAGCTTCCCATATTGAAATCACTTTGAAATTTTTTATGTTAGGAAAACCTGTGCCAGATACCTTTGCATCTGTGCTCCCACAGAAAGATAATCAGTTTTTTTTTTAAGTGAAACATTTCCAAAATAAAAGCACGAGGAACAGTGTACCAAACATCCACTCATCCACCACCCATGTATAACTGTTACCAACATTTTGTCATGTTTATTCCAAGTGCCTTTTGTTTGGCTGGTGTATTTTGTATTTTGTGCATACCTTACCAGCACTGTTGAAGCCCCCTCCATTCCTTCTACCTGATTTCCTGACTCTGCCTCCCTGTTTTTTCCTCTCATGGTTTGAAACCTTCCTATCTGTGTTTTTATACTTTTACCATGTATTAAAGAATCGTAAACAAAGCATACTATTAGGTTTTCAAATGTTCATACGTGAAGTCAGTGTATAAGTATGTATCTTCATCCTTCTGCATCCTTTCATGGATAAATGAGATTTATCCATGTGGATTTGTGTGCATTTCAGGTCATTTACAGTACTAAAGTTAATACAGATTTCTTCATCAAAGTGTATGTTCATAAGCTCTTAATAAAAGTTGCTACATGATACTTTACAAGAGCTTTGGCAATTTATAATCTTAGCCTGTTGATGGCGTTTTTGTGCATTTTATGGTGAGGGGATAGAAGCCAAAATAGCGTTGTTCTGAAGCTGAAGTTATAATTGGTTTTTTGGAGAAAGAAATGGAAATGATGTGTGATTAAGCCATTTGTTAATTGTGTAGATTTGATTACATGGTGTTTCTGAAGACTTCATTTTACCCTTTTTATAAACTGAGTCCGTCACATTTCCCCACTGGAGTGATGTGACATAGGTAAGAAGTCCAGCTTACAAGGCAGGATTGCACAAATGACAATGATTCCTTGTAACTCTTTTTTAAAAGCCTAAAGGTGGTGATGCCAAATCTTCAAGTAAATCAAAGCGATCTCAGGGTCCTGTCCATATTACAGCAGGAAGTGAGCCTGTCCCCATTGGAGAGGATGAGGATGATGATCTGGACCAGGAGACATTCAGCATAGTAAGTCTTAAAATTGAGGGGTGCTGGTGTGTGTGGCCACAGTGCTTGCCGTGGCTCCGTCTTTCTCAGGTCAGCCACACAACCGCAGTTGGCCTGAGTGTTAGTATATTACTTGGGAACACATTGCTTCTACTGTCTAAAGACCTTTTGCTCTGGAACAGGCTGGCAGGAAGAGATTTTCTTACTCACTCTCTGGGGAGAGAGTTTGGGGGATCGATTTCATATCTTGTGCTCCCACTCAGAAAGGCTGCAAGTGGCCCTTAGAGGCATTTGGGAAACCCTAGTGTTAACTGAGGTAACATTTCCTAAATACTTTCTGTGTGCCAGCCCCTGGAGTTACCTACTGTGTTGCAAAGAGGACTGTTTCTGTCACTGCAGACTTTACATTTGAGTGGGGGAGATAGTCAGATAGGCACACAGATTGTGCTTGTGCTACTGTGATGGGGATGTGCGGGGGGGTACAGCAGATGCTCTGAAGATCCTGTGAGAAGGGGAGCGGACCCAGGCAGGGGCTATTGGGAAGGCATGTTTAAGGAGGTGATGTTCAAACTGGGTTCTGAAGGAAGAGGAAGAAGTCACAGGAGATGAGGGCAGAGAAGAACATGCCAGGACAAGGCAGCAGCATGCACAAAGGCTGTGTGGCAGAACTGCCTATGGTGCAGTAAGGGGGTTACATAAGGCCACTGTGGCTTGTGTGGTGAGAACAAGGGGACAGCATGACACGAGACGCGGCCAGGGTACTGGCTGAGTGCACTGGAGCAGTGGTGAGCCTGGTGTTACCTTCCATGCTCTGTACTGCGGTGCTAGGGGCACGGCCCAGGTCTCATGTGGGATTGGAAACAGTCCAGTGTGTCCTTAAGGGCGACCTTAGCCCCTCACCGGAGCTGCAGGTTCTTCACTGGACTGTGTGCTCCATGAGTCCCCTCACCTCCTCTGCCCAACCTTGCATAAATCACAGCTCGCTAGAGTAGTTAATTCAGTCTCAAAGAGAACCTGGTCTTCCAAATTTCAAAATACTCCTGCTGTGTGGCAGCAGAGGGTAGGATACTGACCTCATCCTGTAAGGTAGTCTTCTCGTTACTCCTGTCTCTGTGTTCCCCCAAATCTATACACACATCTATTTTTTATTCTTCCTTCTCTCATTTATCTTACTCCTCTGTTACTGTTCTGCCCTGAGCTCTCTGATGGGGACTACTTTCTTACGTCAAGTACACTTAGGTGTAAGAAGTGTATCTGAAGAAGTATCTCTAAAGTAAAAGATACATCAGTATTTGAGTATTTAAGCTATCTGAAAGGGGTAAGTTCACTGTACAGCCAGCTGTCTGATCTGTATCCTGGTTTGTCCTTAGCCCAGTATTTCTGAGAGGAAACCCCAGCTAGTGCTTCTGTGTACCATTTTCGTTTTCAGAATGATCTTACATATTGGCTCTTTTAATTGTGCTAAGGATTATGAAATCCTTAAAAAATGTAGAAAAATGTAAAGAATACGAGAGACATTGATACAGGTGCCATGAAGCCTTGTCAAATGTGAGTTTTTAAGACTGAGGGTAAAGTTGAAGTCCCTGGTGTTTCTGACTCTAAACCCACACCTCTCCTTTCTTACCTTCCCCAGGAATAAGGGTGGTTTTAGGTCCAGATGTCATTCTTGTGCTTGGTTTAAGAGTTTTAGGACTTTTGTTTGTCTATAAAGACCATAATGGGTCACATAAACAGCCAGGCACTGTTTGTGTGCATTTAGGGCTTTTTCTCCACAACAATCTTATGAGGTAGGTAGTTATCTCCACTCTACTTATTAAAAAATAAGGTAAAGAGAGTCACATAAGTTGTCCAGTGTCACCACAGTTAAGATGTGGCACAGAGGTTTGACCCAGACAGTTGGGCATGAATGCCTGGGTTCTTAACTGTTCTACTGCACAGCCTCCTAAGTTCCATACGCAGCACATTATCTTGCTCTCCGTATTCAAAGACTTGATATAAATGCCACGCTGTGTATGTCATGTAACTTGATTTTCCTCTCGCAGCATCTCTATTTTTTGAGGTTTATCCATGTTAGTAGTTTAAACTTTCGGGGCGCCTGGCTGGCTTAGTTGGTGTAGCATGCAACTCTCGATCTCGTGGTCTAGAGTTCAGGTCCCACGTTGGATGTAGAGCTTACTTAACAAAAAAATTAAAAATTAAAATAATTTTTTTTCGTATTATTCTGTATTAAGACTTCTATAGTTCATGGTTTCTCCTGTAGATGAACCTTGAGGTTTTCCAAATGTTTACTACTAAAAATAGCAAAATTGTTTTAAATATTTTATTAAAAAAATGTTTTTTTAATGTTTATTTATTTTTGAGAGACACAGAGACAGAATGCAAGTGGGTTAGGGGCAGAGAGGGAGGGAGACACAGAATCCGAAGTAGACTCCAGGCTCTGAGCTGTCAGCACAGAGTCTGATGCAGGGCTTGAACTCAACGAGCTGCAAGATCATGACCTGAGCCGAAGTTGGATGCTCAACCAACTGAGCCACCCAGGCACCCCGAAAAATGTAAATATTTTCATTTACACATGTAAACGTTTCTCTAGTCCTGGGTCTTCCTAGGGCTTGCATGCACACCCATCACTTTCCTAGGTACTGTTGAATTAACCTTGAAGGCAATTATGGAGATTTTATACACTCCTTTTCACAGTGAACTTGAGTTCCAGTTGCTTCCCAGTCTTAGAAACACTTGGTAATTTCTGACTTCCTAATTTTTGCTTATCTGAGAAGTATGAACTATTGATCAGTGGCGTAGGTGAACACTTGTTTTCGTATCTGTTAGGCATTCATGTTTCTAAGAAATTGCCTGTGCATATCCTTTGCCTATTTTAGGGTAATTTGTTTGTTCCTACCTTTTCTATAGTGCCCTTTATACATTCATGATACTAATTTGTTACTCATAACAGTTGTTCTAGGTATCTTCCAGGTTGTGGTACACTTTTCTATTTTGTGTCCTTTTTCTTAAAATTGAGGTATAACTCTGAAAAGTAAACAGAAGGAATTATCACAGAGTGATAGAAGTTTGTGGGGTTTTCATCATTCTGAAATGTCATGATCTTGTGCCTTGGTAGTTTGTTGTGCCAAGTATGTAAGCCGTTGACAACCATTCTCTATAGGTCCGAAAAAGTTTTCTTGAATTATTTTGTGGTAATTTCCTCCTAATTCTTGGTTTTAACTTTATGGAACTTTCTGTTTTGGATATGGAACTCTTGGGATGGTTCCCAATATTACTACCTTTTTTATTTTCCATTTCTGCTTTTTAGATTCTACTTTCTAGGAGATGCCCTTCACTTTATCTCACATTATGTCTTTTCTTCTTCTTTTTTTCTTTTTTTTTTTGAGAGAGAGCACAAGTGGGGGAGAGAGGCAGAGGAAGGGAGAGAAAGAATCTTAAGCAGGCTCCACACCCAGCACGGCTTAATGCGGGGCTCAATCCCATGATCATAAGATCTTGACCTGAGCCGAAATCAAGAGTTGGATACTTAACCGACTGAGCCACCCGGGCATGCCTCACATTATTTCTTTCAGGCTTTTTACTTCTCTTGTCATGTTTTATTTCCCAGATCTCCCCCCCACTCCCACCCCTTCATGGTTCTCTTGAATGTTTTTATATTTCTGTTGAATTTGTTTTCCATCATTCATGTTAGATATTTTTTCAAATGGCTTGGTTATCATTGTCTGCACACACATTTAGGAGTAGGGGCCTAGCCATCTGACGTGGGTGGAGCCTGATCAACTTTGAGTGCTCACCATGGGTGATGTGGTAGGGCTGCTGCCTTGGGAGGCTTCCAGTGTGTAGTTCCTCCTCTTAGATGGTCAGATTTTGTGGAGAAGAATCCTCCCATCTCCTGAGTGGAGGGCGAAGGCCTGGCTGTCTTCATTCTGGAGTCTGGGAGGCAGAAGGCCAGGTGATGGCTCATCTAGTGTGCATATGTCCATATGCTCCTGTTTCAGTGCGGCAGCCTTGCCTCTTGGCTGTGCCCATGTAGCCCAGTTCAGAGACCTTTCCTTCATACTCTCCAGAGAATAACTTCCACATCTTTTGCTGGGCAGAGTTGGAGATTTGGGCGTCTCTTGTGACTCTGGGTATCAGTTACTTCTAAGCATTGTTGAAAAAACCCAATCCTGGGGCGCCTGGGTGGCGCAGTCGGTTAAGCGTCCGACTTCAGCCAGGTCACGATCTCGCGGTCCGTGAGTTCGAGCCCCGCGTCGGGCTCTGGGCTGATGGCTCGGAGCCTGGAGCCTGTTTCCGATTCTGTGTCTCCCTCTCTCTCTGCCCCTCCCCCGTTCATGCTCTGTCTCTCTCTGTCCCAAAAATAAATAAAACGTTGAAAAAAAAATTAAAAAAAAAAAAAAAAAAAAAACCCAATCCTTAGTTTTCACCCTCTCCTACTTGCAGAGGTGTCTAGAGAGACTCTGGGGGGAATTTTGTAGTATAAACCAGGTTGGTTCGCCTGTTAGGTCTGTTGAGTGATTTCCCTTGCTGCCAATATTTTGTGGCTCTTGTTTTCTCTCTCATTTTCCCTTGTCTTTATGGGCTTATCTCTTTTTAAGACCCTCCCTTTACTGTTGTGTTAGTGGAGTTGGGCAGGAGGAGAAAATGATTCTGGTGTTTAGCCCACCATCTTTATCTGGAAGCTACCCACGTAGTTTCTTATAAGCCTGAAGGACTTGTAAATATTTTATCCTGCAGTTTTAGATAGTTTAGATGGTGGTGAGAAGTTTCTAGGTTAGGTCTGTAATTTCGCTTCTCATTGGATCTTCATAATGGACTTAAGAGTTAAGAGGCATTATCATGCCCCTGTTGCAGGTGAGGAAACAGAAGCATTTTGAGCTATAATAAAGGAAAGGTGTAGAGGTCTTCACTCTAAGAGATGCTGTTGGGACCTGCACCTCAGGTTTTCCTGACTTAATACTTACACTTGTTCCCCTGACTCTAACCCATTCCTCCTCTAGGGTAACATGGCGTGAGAGTGGGCCGGGTTTTCTCTGGGAATTTAGGTCACAGGAACCAAAGACAAGGTGTCTTTGCTGCAAGTGTTTTATATCTCTACTCTGTTGGCCTGTTCCAGTGCAAAGAGAGGATGAGGCCCGTGAAAAAGGCACTGAAACAGCTGGACAAACCCGACAAGGGGCTCAATGTGCAGGAACAGCTGGAGCATACCCGAAATTGCCTGCTGAAAATCGGAGACCGGATAGCCGAGTGCCTTAAAGCCTACTCAGACCAGGAGCACATCAAACTGTGGAGGAGGTGAGTGGCCTTGGTCTCAGAATGCCTTGTTTGATTTGACAGTGTATGTGTGTGTGTGGGGGGGGGGGGGGGGGGGGAATCTGTTCTTGTTTTATAAAGGGTGACATAACCACCTAATGAAAATCTTTCCCCCAATAAAAATCATCTATTGGCAACGTACCTGCAGGCTTCAATTTCATTTTCCTGCAGTAGGTCATTCCACTGAGACCAGTCTTTGAAATAGGTAGGATGATGTCATTTTTTTTACAAGAGAACAGCAGGAGTACCGAATTTGCTGGCCTATTCTCAGAACAAGGACTTGGTCTGTAAGCCTGGAAGGGATAAAAATCATCTGGTCTCACTACTTCACCCACCTCAGGTTGCTAGTCAGATATAAAAACTATTTGATCAGTTCTTTACTAACACACGAGTCACACAAAGGTTAAAATCACCAGAACTGTGATTTCTCTATTCTCTCTGATAATTAAAAAGAACGCTAGTAGTCATTTGTATTAATACAGTTTAATACAGAACTTCAGTTTTTAAGGCATATCATGGCTCGTATATATTCATTTATATATTCACTTACGATATTTGACAAAAATAACTGGAGTGTCTTCCTCAAAAATCATTGTAACACTGAGTCTCTAAAATCCACAGTCTTTGAACTCCTATACTTCATGGTTAATATAATTATTTAGGTATAATTTGCCCAATCTCAGTGGATTGGTTTTGAGTGAAAAATAGATTTAAGAAAACTTCGCCATGATGCTATCTGTAGCATGCTTCACACCCATTAAAAAGATATTAAGCTTTAAATGTTACTTTTATTCCCCTTTATACTGTTAACCAGCTTCTTCCTGTACCTAGCTAGCCTCTGGGATGTATTTCTACCCAACTTAATCTCTGTTGGAAGATAACAAAAGGTCATCCTAGTACATAGTCTGTGAAGCTAGGATTCCTCCCGTGACCTAGGGCCTGTCTGTGTTTAATTGTACCAGGTACTGTGGTTCTGGCTAACAGTAGTTCATAAGAAGGTCTTTGTCCACTCGACGGCCCTTTATGAAGTGGTGATTGTGAGACCATGTGTGTGGTAGGTGTTCGAGAAGGAGGAAGGGCCTGCAGAAGAGCAGTCGGAGGAAACTCTTCTGAGAGGCAGGCGAGTGGGCATGCGCAGGGTGGACTTGCTTAGATGAGGAGAGTTTCCAGGCTTTGGCGAAGGCTTCAAAGTGAGACAGTGAGAAGGGGGGCTGGGAGGTTTTTAGGGTTTAAAGACAGTTTGTTAAGACCACCGATGGCTTTGCACCTGATGCAGCAGGTTTACTACTTAGGGAACCCGTGGTTCCTGCGGGTGGCGTGACATGGTGAAACTCTTGTCTTCATTGTGTGGAGAGAGGTGAGACTCCTTTTCCAGCTCACTGCCAGTACCCCTGCCTCCTTGTTCTAGACACCTGTTTTGCCCAGCACTCTCCTGTTCACTGTAATGCCTTGCTGGGGTGGATGTGGTGGAATTACAGTGGAGGCGCCTCTTGGGAGTTTTCAGGAAGAAAGGATAGACTTTGTGGTGACAACTGGGAGGAGAAGGGGCAGGAGCACGGAGATGCCCGAGTGTATGGAGGTCTCCACCTGGAAGATGGTAATGACGGGTTGGGTGGCAGAATCCAGGAAGTGCAGAACGTGGAGGAAGACTCCAGGGCTTTCCTGAGTGCCAGTGAAATAAGGGATTTTAGCTCGGAAACAGAGCCTTCGTCTCCAGACCCCTCAGTCAAACTCTGTGGACACGGCATCTGAAGGAGTGTTAATGAAACACAGACCTGAAAGAATGTTCCTGTTATTTAATTTCTACACTTGGAGAGTATCCATTGCAGAATTCAGTAGCTTGCCATCCATAAAGAGAATAAAAAGTTATTTTAAAAATTCTGTAATTTACTAGAACTATTATTTTTTTTTTTAGGAACCTATGGATTTTTGTTTCCAAGTTTACAGAATTTGATGCTCGAAAATTGCATAAGTTGTACAAGATGGCTCATAAGAAAAGATCTCAAGAAGAGGAGGTAAAATACAAATTTAATCCTAATTCGTACTAACAGATAAAAGCCAGTTGCACGGAGCAATTCCTTAGTTACTGTTTTTCCCTGGGGAGATGGTCATGAAATGATACTTTTGGTGCTAGAAGGGTCCCTGGTTCTCTGCCCTCCCCTCACAGACGGATGTTCAGGTCCACCACAGCCCTGCCTCCCTGTACTGTGTGCTCCTATGCCGTTTTAGCTCTGCGCTTTCTCAGCACACTGCACTGGTAGTGAAAGTGACAGACTCGGTGGCTGAAATAGCCAATCTGTTAGAACCAAAGAGTGTTAAAATTCTGACAAGGTGTTGTTACCTGCATTCTTTTTTTTAATTTTATTTTTGAGAGAGAGCAAGAGAGTGAGAGAGAGAGGGAAGGAGGGAGGGTGAGGGGCAGAAAGAGAAGTAGACACAGAGTCTGAAGCAGGCTCTAGGCTCTAAGCTGTCAGCATGGAGACTGACGCAGGGCTCGAACTCATGGACTGTGAGATTATGACCTGAGCCGAAGTCAGACACTTAACCAACTGAGCCACCCAAGCGCCCCTACCCTGCGTTCTTATGCCCATAATCATTTATTCTCTCGTCTTGTGGTAGCTTATAAACGTGGCTCTTGATAAGTCATGTGGGCAGAAAATACTTGTTTTGTTCTTTTCTGGGTCACGTATACTTGGTGTTCCTTCCCGCGTTTGTATGTAACGTCCCAGCTACTCATGTAAAGGAGCCAACATGAGAAGGTGCCCAGAAGTTCCTTCCCTTCTTTGTTATAGGGGGATGGGCACATAAATGCCTTAGCTGATTTTGAAGACATGCCCATTCACAGATCTGCTGACCTGCCACATCAGCCCTTTAGGGCCCCCAAATCAGCCATTTAGAGCCAGTCTCTGGACATTTAATACCTCCTCCACTAACCTGTCAGCTTCTCAAAGGCAGAGATATTATGCTTCTCATCCTCTGCTATATCCTCAGTGCCTGGAAAGGTACTGGGCACAGCGAAGGTGCTTAGAAGTATTTGTTGCATGAACTTAACATGCTTAGTATTGTGTTGTACTGTAGAATAGTATGCTCAAGTAGTTTATAATTTAGAAGAATATGATATGGTAGTAATATATAGAGATAATATACTAGTATCATTGAACGTTAATGTAAATTTTAAGCATTATAAAAGTTTGCGAGGATAGTCAGGAAAAGCCTGAGGAGGGAATGAAATAGTGGGAAAGACCCTGTAGTGGGGAGTGAAAGTTACGATGAGGGTTTATAGCTGAACACACGATGGTAAAGGGGCCATGTTAGTCTAAGTATCAGCAGTTAGCATATTGAACAAAAATAGTGGTCCTGCTGCTGGGGGTGTGCACTATCACAGCCTTCTGGAGGGACAGTTCAGTCAGATTTGTCAAAAGACAAAAACAGTTCTTCTGAGAATTTAATGAGGTAATTAAGGATTTAAACATGTTTATTGTGGAAATGACTTGAATGCCCAACGATAAAAAATAGATTAAATAGATTATGATATATTCATGCTGGGGAATATTATTCGGCCATAATACAATAGTGTAAGTAAGTGTTTACATGAGAAAATTTTCATAATGTGTTAAGTGAAAGAAGAATACCAAATAATATTTTTGTTAAAAAAAAAAAATAACACACACACATATAAACACAAGCTTAGAAAGATATGGACCAAATCGCAGACATTAATTTCTTTCGTAGTGAGATTTTAGGGCACTTTACGTTATTTTTTGCTGTTGCTGTTCTTATTATATTTTCTAATATTTTTCTATTACATTTTCTTGTGTGGTAAAGAAGTAAATAAACATTGAGATGTTTAGCTTGATGACTTTGGCGTAGGAACTAGTTCCCACTGGGCTGGTCAGAGGTTGTTTGCTCTAGTTAGTCTAGGAAAGTTGTGTTCCTACTTTTACATGGTCCAAGATGAGTCTCTGAGAAGGCTGACAGCCCGGGCATCTGTCCTGGGCGGGCCCTGTGCAGTGGCACCCAGCAGCCCATGCACACGGTCTTACAGTGACTTGCCAGGGGAGCGTGACTTTCTTGTGAGAGCAGCAGGGGGAGCTCAGGGAAACTTATGAACATGGTGTATAAGAATATAGTAGATGGCAGGTTGGAAGCCAGAAGAGGGGAAAGAGGGGAATGCTTAGAGGTGGTGACCTCTGTACTATTCTTGGGAATTCAGCTTGGGGTCTTAAGAGTCTTTGGTTTCCTTTTATTCTCAGGAGCAAAAGAAGAAAGATGATGTGATTGGTGGTAAGAAGCCATTTCGACCAGAGGCCTCAGGCTCCAGCCGGGACTCCCTGATATCTCAGTCCCACACCCCACACAACCTTCACCCTCAGAAGCCTCACTTGCCTGCCTCCCATGGCCCACAGATGCATGGACACCCAAGAGATAACTATAATCACCCCAACAAGAGACACTTTAGTAATGCAGGTAGGTCATTAAGTGGAGTTTTAAAAAGAGATGCCAAAAGAATCATTGTATTTTCCGAAAATAGCTAGACCTTTGTACTTTATTCTCCTTCAACACTTTACTGTCTTCTTTTGTCTTAGTGACACAGCACATGAAGTAAAGATCCAAAAGGCTCCAGCTCTAAGAAGAACATGGCCACCATCATAAACAAATGACAGACTGAGAGAAACAATTTACATTATATAGGACAGTCACATGGTTAAAACTGCTAATACTGAAAGAGCCTTGTAAATTGGTAACAAAAGAATAACCAAATAGAAAAATGGGCAAAGGTTAGGAGTTGGGAATTCATACAGAAGAGGAAATTCAAATGGCCAATATGACAAGATGGCCAGCATTGCTGTTAGGGAAATGTAAATTAAAGCAATGGTAAGCTAACCAATTTTTTTTTTTTTTTTCGGCCATTCAGATCAACAAAAGTTAAAAGGGTGAAATACATACAAATTGCTAAGAGTGTGAATTGCTACAATCTTTCCCAGAATTAATCTCAAATATCTTAAATACATAAGTCCCTTTTCTGTATGTATGAGGATGCCATTCAGTCTTAGAATGGCAAAAAGTTGGAAATAACTTGAATATCCATTAATAGGAGAATCATTGGATAAATAGTAGGACATTTGTACTCTAAATATTATCATCAATTATTAAAAAGAATGAGTTGACTTTATAGATCAACAACAAAATCTATATGTCTGTGTTTAAATTTATTGAGGTGACAATCATATAACATAAACTTTACCATTTTATTTTTTATTTCTTTTTAAATGTATTTGTTCATTTTTTTTTTAATTTATGTTTTAAAATTTATGTACTTACTTGTTTATTTTTTAATTTACATCCAAGTTAGCATATAGTGCAATAATGATTTCAGGAGTAGATTCCAGTGATTCATCCCCTATTTATAACACCCAGTGCTCATCCCTACAAGTGTCTTCCTTAATGCCCCTTACCCATTCATCCCATCCCCCTACCTATAACCCCTCCAGCAACCCTCAATTTGTTCTCTATATTTAAGAGTCTCTTATGTTTTGTCCCCCTCCCTGTTTTTATATTATTTTTGCTTCCCTTCCCTTACATTCACCTGTTTTGTATCTTAAGTTAAACTTTAGCATTTTAAATACCCAATTCAATGGCATTTAGTACACTCAGAGTGTTGTGCAACCACCACTTCTATCTTAGTTGCAAAACATTTCCATCACCTCAAATGGAAATCTCACATCCAGGAGACCGTTTGTCCCCATTCCTTCTTCTCAGCCTCCGCAGTCCCCAGTCTGTATCCTGTCTATCTGGATTCATGTATTTTGGACATTGCATATTAATGGAATCATACTATGTGTGTCTGACTTCTGTTTTCAAGGTTTATGTTTTTTTGTTTGTTTGTTTTTATAATTTAACTTTATTTTTTATTTTTAAAAATTTACATCCAAATTAGTATATAGTGAAGCAATGATTTCAGGAGTAGATTCCTTAATGCCCCTTACCCATTTAGCCCATCCCCCCCTCCCACAACCCCTCCAGCAACCCTCAGTTTGTTCTCCATATTTATGAGTCTCTTTTGTCCCCCTCCCTGTTTTTATATTATTTTTGTTTCCCTTCCCTTATGTTCATCTGTTTTGTCTCTTAAAGTCCTCATATGAGTGAAGTCATATGATTTTTGTCTTTCTCTGACTAATTTCACTTAACATAATACCCTCCAGTTCCATCCACATAGTTGCAAATGGCAAGATTTCATTCTTTTTGATTGCCGAGTAATACTCCATTGTGTGTGTGTGTATATATATATATATATATATATATATATATATATATACCACATTCATCCATCGATGGACATTTGAGCTCTTTCCATACTTTGGTTATTATGGATAGTGCTGCTATAAACATGGGGGTGCATGTGTCCCTTTGAAACAGCATACCTGTATCCCTTGGATAAATGCCTAGCAGTGCAATTGCTGGGTCGTAGGGTAGTTCTGTTTTTAGTTTTTTGAGAAACCTCCATACTATTTTCCAGAGTGGCTGCACCAGCTTGCATTCCCACCAACAGTGCAAAAGAGATCCTCTTTCTCCACATCCTCACCAACATCTGTTGTTGCCTGAGTTGTTAATGTGAGCCATTCTGACAGGTGTAAGGTGGTATCTCATTGTGGTTTTGATTTGTATTTCCCTGATGATGAGTGATGTGGAGCATTTTTTCATGTGTTGGTTGGCCATCTGGATGTCTTCTTTGGAGAAGTGTCTATTCATGTCTTTGCCCATTTCTTCACTGGATTATTTGTTTTTTGGCTGTTTTGTATGTTGTTTTTTTTTTAATAGTTCATTATTCTTTTTTTTAAATTTTTTTTTTCAACGTTTATTTATTTTTGGGACAGAGAGAGAGGGAGACACAGAATCGGAAACAGGCTCCAGGCTCTGAGCCATCAGCCCAGAGCCCGACGCGGGGCTCGAACTCACGGACCGCGAGATCGTGACCTGGCTGAAGTCGGACGCTTAACCGACTGCGCCACCCAGGCGCCCCAATAGTTCATTATTCTTAATGTACTATTGGGTTTTTTTTTTTTTTTTTTTTTTTTAGTTTATTCTCAAGTTAGTTAACACACAGTGTAGTCTTCAGGAGTAGATTTCTGTGATTCATCTCTTACATATGACACCCAGTGCTCGTTCCAACAAGTGCCCTCCTCAGTGCCCATCACCCATTTTCCCCATGCCCCCCAACCCCCTACCCCATCAACCCTCAGTTTGTTCTCTGTATTTATATGGTTTGCTTCCCTCTCTGTTCTTATTTCTCTTTCCCTTTCCCTATGGTCATCTGTTAAGTTTCTCAAATTCCATATATGAGTGATATCATATGATATGTATCTTTCTCTTATTTTGCTTAGCATAAAACCCTCCAGTTCCATCCATGTTGTTGCAGATGGCAAGATTTCATTCTTTTTCATCATTGAGTAGTATTCCATTGTGAATATATGTACCACATCTTCTTTATCCACTCATCAGTCAATGGACATTTGCGCTGTTTCCATAATTTGACTATTGTTGAAAGCACTGCTATAAACATTGGGGTGCATGTGCCCCTTCAAATGACACCTGTATCCTTTGGATAAATTCCTAGTAGTGCAATTGCTGGGTCATAGAGTAGTTCTATTGTTAAGCTTTTGAGGAACCTCCACACTTTTCCAGGGTGGCTGCACCAGTTTGCATTCTCACCAACAGTGCAAGAGGATTCCCCTTACTCCACATCCTCGCCAACATGTGTTGTTTCTTGAGTTGCAATTTTAGCCATTGTGACAGGCGTGAGGTGGTATCTCAATGTGGTTTTGTAGGTCTGTCTGTGTTGTAATGGGTATCAGTACCTCACTCCTTCCTGTGGCTGAATAACCTCGCATTGTGTGGGTACACACCACAGTCTGTTATCCATTCATCTGTTGGGGTTGTTTCTACTTTTTGGCTATTGTGAATAGTACTGCTGTGAAAATCTGTGTGTAAGTTACTTTTGAGTACCTATTTTCAGTTCTTTTGGGTATATACCTAGTAGGGGAATTGCTGGGTTATGTGGTAATTCTAATTTAATTTTTTGAGGAACCATCAAACGTTTTCTGTAGTGTATGTTTGAATACTGTTTTGAATGCTTATTGAGAACAGTACTGTGTTTGAATTAGTATCGAGAAAGTTGTGAAAACACACACTACATATAGCATACATAGAAGTCCTAGTATAGGATTTTGCAAAGAATCAAATATTCCATAATAATCTTAATGAAGTGTACATTTCTTTCTAAACTTCAGTTTTAGGATTTCCATTTGATTTCTTTTGAAAAATACATTTCATTCTTCTGGTAAAATTCTCAAGCTTTTAGAAAACTTGATTTTCTTCATCTTTTCCTCTGTTTTTGAGCATACGAATTAACAGTTATTTAAAAATCTTTGCTAAGTCCAGTATCTCAATTCTTGTGAATCATTTTCTGTTGTGTGTTTTATTTTTCTTGGTTTTCATCCATATAGTTCTGTCTTTGGCATGCCTAGTTATTTTTGATTAAGTGGGGGAACCCATGTTTTAAAAATTGTGGAAGCTCCAGGAGCACCTGGGTGGCTCAGTCAGTCAAGCATCCAATTCTTGATCTCGGTTCAGGTCTGATCTCAGCGTCGTAAGTTCAAGCACCATGCCAGGCTCCATGCAGGGTGTGGAGCCTACTTGAAAAAAAAATTATGGAAGCTTCAGGTGGTGTTGCTTTCCTAGAGAGGATTCATTCTTTCCTCCCCAAGGGCACATGGAGTGTAAAGCGATCATTCTGGTCTAGTCGTCTAGTCTGCCTCTGGGCTCCCCTGTTCCTGGGGCTTAGCTCTTCAGAGTGCTCAGCAGAGGGCCTGGAGCATTTTCTGCCCCTCATCTTCTGCAGGCCCTAGACTCGAATCTTGGTTTTCTCAGCACCATGAGACTACCTGGACTGCTCTGCTCTTCTGAGGCGTAGGTCTTCAGCCTTCTGCTCCCTGCAGATTCAGCACTTATCTTTTTTTTTTTTTTTTTCCAACGTTTATTTATTTTTGGGACAGAGAGAGACAGAGCATGAACGGGGGAGGGGCAGAGAGAGAGGGAGACACAGAATCGGAAACAGGCTCCAGGCTCCGT